GCAAAACTATTCCTAAGGCAAAATTTTGAAGGTGTAGTCAAAGTGCCCCAATGATGGTTCCCTATGGAAGAGCTAAGAACCCCTTGGTAGATAAATAGTCAACACTTAGTGAAATCCACCACTCATTTTTTACATACATAATTTCTTTTTCTAGAAAAAATAAAGCATCTAATAAATTCATTCTTTAGACATGATAACATCTACTTGCCCAATATAGAGACAGGTATGATATAATTTTTTTCACTAATCACCTGATTGAAATTTTTCACATTATCTACTTCTTTTCACCATTGTCTTTCAAAGAGATAAAATAGTCAGTGAAATAAATATATATTCCTAAAAGTTCATGGATTGGGTTCAAGGTGTGCAACCAGTTAGCTCTCCCAGCTATTGAATTTATCTAGGAGAACAATTGTTTATGTTTAGGAGAATAACTCTTCTAGGAGAATAATTGAATTCTTCTAAGATCTGAACCAGCCTAAAAGATTAACTAATTCATCCAATATATGAACTAAACTGGGAGAATAACTGAATTGATCCAGGGGCAAAACACGTCCAAGAGAACAACTGAATTCGTCAAATAGTCAAACTCATACAAGAATAATTGATCTTGTATGGGAACTAAACTCTTCAAGCAAAATAAATCTCACAAGAGAATTCTCTCAAAGAACTCATCCCATGGCCTAGTCCCATGACATAAACATTACTAAAAATAGAACGTCAATGACAAGCATTCATAAGAAATGGTTAACAAGGTAAGGTTTTATTAGGATACTACTATATATCCACACTAGAAAAAAGATAAGAAAGGATAAATCAAATATTATTCAAGATTTATGTGTAGTGAATAGCTATTTTGTTACATATGATAATACCATTATAACCAGAGGAGAAATCACATAAAATTATCATTTTTTCTTTCTCTTCTTTCCACTAAGAATAATGATTTCTCTCTCACCTATCATATTATCTCTCCTTCCTAACTTTTTTTTTCTTGAAATGTGACTCCATGTTATTAGTATTCAATCAAAACTTTAATTTGCTTACTAATTGGGTTGGGTTAGGCTCATCAATACTAAATTAAATTTTAGGTTCGACCCAAGCCCCATCTAAACATCCAATTCAATTTTAGTAGATTGTATACATATTATATAAGTTTATCGTCTGCATAGCATATAACCAAAGAAATCTCGAGAGAACCTATTCCTAAGACTCGTAACTATATAAATCAAGCTCTTTATCAAATTGCATGTACGCACGAATAATACATGACATCAAATATTTATCATGACCACTTTAATAAAGTTAAAATTATGTTTTCAAACAGACAAATAAACGGTCAACACATTCATTAAATAATTCCACTTAAAATCAAAAGCCACATCCGCAGGCTCATTTTGACCACAGTTAATCCCTCATCATTAATGATAATTAAATATCAATGCCGCTTAATTCAATATCGAAAAGGATATTCCCGACAGTAACAAACGACAAATGCTCTGATGGGACCCAGCTCAGTCACGTTACCAATTTCATCCCACCATCTCCAACCTAAAAAATTATTCTGTTAAGATGGGGTATTCAGAGATGCATGCGTCAAACAATTTTTATCATTGATCAGATCAAAATTATATTTTTGTGGGCAAAAAATTTGATGAAAGCTCTGATCAACGGCGGAGATCGGCGGCGCATGCATCTCTGCATACGCCGTCCGATGGATTTAGAGAATTTATGGATGGATCAATTTGTGATTCTTGTACTACAACTAAAGATCATAGATTACTGTTCTCTCTATCTACTAACCACAATTATCTTCCTCGGGAAGAACTTATTCACTCTGATGTATGGGATCCATCGTCTCATATTTCTCGTTCAGGTTTTCATTTTCATTTTATTTTTATAGATGATGCTAATGGATATACATGAATGTTTCCTATGGTCTGTGAATTTGAAACCATAACTCACTTCATCATCTTTAAGAATCACATTGAAAAATAATTTAACGCACACATTAAAATCCTCAGATTCGATGGAGGAGTGGAATATAAGAACCAACAATTTGATGAACTCCTGACCAAGTATGACATCATTCATCAGCTTTCATGCCCAACAAAATGGTCTCACCGAACGAGAACATTGTCACATTCTAGATACAACTCGATCTCTTTTCACTAAATCTAATCTACCACTTACATTTTGGCAGATGTCATCCCTTTGCATTGTGATATTCTCCTTTATAGACTGTTTGTTTGGATACAACCAAATTCAGATGGTCCTAGTGGAAGAGCAGCATAAGGCGTTCCATACATCCATAGGCATCTTTTGCTATAGAGTCGTGCCCTTCGGTCTCAAAAATACCAGGGCAACCTATCAGAGTGTCATGAATCATTTCTTCGACGACTTGTTGCATCACAAGGTCAAATGTTAAATCAACGATGTAGTTATCAAAAGTCATTCCGAAGATGAACAACTTGGAGACTAAGGACTGTTTTTGAACGACTTAGAAAATACAATATGAAGATGAACACGTTGAAGTGCTCCCGCGACATCTCTTCCAGGAAGTTTCTGGGTTTCATAGTCTGACATAGTGGCATAGAGATTGACCCTAGGAAGATTAAATCCATCATAAAGATGGAACCTCCTAAGAGTTTAACGCAATTGAGCTACTTTCAAGGGAAACTATCTTTCATTAGGAGGTTTATTTCAAATCTCTTTAAGCATTGTCGTCCTTTCTTAGCTTTGATTAAGAAGGATACCTGATTTTACGGGGATAAAATGTGTCGGGATGCTTCCGATGATACCAAGTGTCACCGGTGCAATCCCCCTGGTTTTAGCTACTCCCATCATGGGGTAGCCTCTTATACTCTATATTGTCATTGTTGACAAGTCGACATGAACCTTGTTAGCCCGGTTAATGAGGACAAGAAAGATGGTGCCTTATACTACCTCCGTATGTGCCCATCCAGGCTGACTTGAAATATTTGTCGATCGAGAAACACTGTTTCGCGTTGATATTCTCAGTTTAGAAGTTGAGACATTACATGCTCTCACACCATATCGATTTGATTTCAATGGTGAACCCATTGCAATATCTGATGACTCACCCCACTCTAACTGGGCGATTAACGAGATGGACCGTGCTGTTATCACAATTCTACATTTCACATGTCCCTCAGCGAGGCTTCAAAGGACAGGCTTTGGCTAATTTTATAGCGGCACATCCGGTTGCAGCTGACTCATCGCTAAACGATACTTCCTTGAAGAGCATTTGTTAGTCGTTGATTCCCCTAAGTGGGAGTTGTATTTTGATGGGGCACCTTTCTTAAAGAAAAAACTGTCAGGATCTCTCTCGAGGGTGAAGGCCAGTATCGGCCTCATTTTTGTTTTCCCTGAGCATAATATCCTTTGTTATTCTTATGGCTTGATAGAACTGCATACAAATAACGAGGCAAAATACGAACCTTTGATAATTGGATTAAAATTAATAAATTTCTAAGGGATCAAGGCTATGAGGAATCCTAGCTCATTATTTGCTAGGTGTTGGGGACCTACAAAGTTCTCAAACCGGACCTCTTATCATACCACAAGAGAGTTATGACATTACTAAAGCATATCTCCGATGTCACTTTAGTTAGTATCTCTTGTCCTTTGAACAACAAGACTGGCGCTCTAGCTAAGCTCGCTAAGGAACTTTTAAGTCCTACTGGTGACCCCGTGAATGTAATACATAGTGTTAATTGTTCTACCACTGGCAATATAAAATGTTAATTGTTCTAGTATATACAATGAAAAAAATGCATTTGTAACTAGAAACTTAAGAATTATTCTACCGTTTTCTCGTAATAAGAAGTATAGCAAGATAAAAATAAACATAAATAAATTGCATTTAGTTTTAAATAAGCTTAATATAAAAACATATTATTTGTACCTTGCTAACAATAAAGTGCTAGACAAGATCCCGACACGGGTAGCATTTTAACTTGACGCAATATTTCGAACATTATTTCGACATATAAATAATAATTTATAAAAAAAAAAAACGTTAACAATGAAATATTTCAAAGTAGTTGAAATAATTTAAAAATTTTAGAAAATTACTAATTTTAAAATGTTAAAAATTTTATAAGATCTATATGGGTCATTGTTACACGAGACAGTCGATGTATTATTTCAGATTCCTTCGAACGAGTAGCCCCGCACCATCAGGTTTTCAGGTTGTTTATAGACTTATACAATATTAACATTTTAATTGATATTTAATTAAATATAATTAAAGTTACTTCAATTATAACAACAAATATAATAGGTGCAAAATATAAAAGTGTCAATTGTTCGAGTATATGCAATGAAAAAAAAAATACATTCATAGCATGACAATTCTATTGTGTTCTCGTACTAATAAGTATTGCATGATAAACATAAATATAAATAAAATCATTGAGCTTTAAATTACTTTCATATAAAACTAAGTTGTTTGTACCTTATCAAGAGTGAAGTGTAAGACAATATCCTGATGACACAAGTAACATTTACACAATAAAAATCGTTTATAATAGTTTCAGTCAGCATTTTGACGCGTCATTAATAATTCAAATATATTACAGACAACATTTTGATATCGACGTGGGATACAAATTTCGTATATAATTTAAAACAATAACTCATGATAACAACATAATAATAAAAATTAATAATATAGATTGAAAAATATTCTTAAAAAATAACATTTCAGTACTTCTTAAAATCTAAAAAAAACAGCATATCAGTATATTAAATGTGAAGTACACGAGCGATTATTGCATGCAAAAAGGGTATGTAAAGCTGCGTGTGCTCTCCGATCACAACCGTTGCTAGACGAAATATACAACCCCCCATGACCGTTAAGATATGCACCATCTTCTCTATATATATATATATATATATATATATATATATCATGTTTCTTATACTAATTGAATTTATTAAAGGGCTCTTCTTACAATTTGGCCCACTCTGTTCTATCGGGAATTTTACCCTTTTGCCCTCTCTGAATCCTTCTCTGCTTATTTTGTTTCATGGTCGTTTAAATCTTGCAGGAGAAGGCGATCCGGAATTAACCTTAGCAGGGATTTGCATGGACTCGCCGGCGATCTCGCCGAGAGCCGCAGCTCCAGCACTGGTGCTTTCGAATTCAGGGAAGAGGATCGACCAAGCAGCGGGGAAGAAGAAGTACGTGAAGCAGGTGACGGGGAGGTACAATGACACGGAGCTCCATTTGGCTGCGCAGCGCGGCGATGTGGCGGCGGTGCGGCAGGTTCTCAGCGCGATTGATGCGCTGATGACGGGGACTTCGTCGGGAGCCGATTTCGATGCCGAGGTGGCGGAGCTTCGATCGGCGGTGGTGAACGAGGTCAACGAGGTCGGAGAGACGGCGATGTTCGTTGCGGGGGAGAAGGGGCATCTGGACGTTGTCGTTGAGCTGATGAAGTATGCTGATAAGGAGTGCGTGACGAGGAAGAATCGATCGGGGTTCGATGTGCTGCATGTGGCGAGCAGAGAAGGGCACCATGGTTAGAGCTGCTTTCTTTTTTATTGCTGATTTTTAGTTTAAAACGGTTTTTTTTTTTTTCTGAAGATTTACTCCTTTTGTTTTATTGTGCTATCAATTTTGATTTAAGTTTCTATAGAATTTGGAGTTCTGATGGTTCTGTTCTTCTATTGCATTTAGCTGGTGTGTGCACAAACGATTATGTGCCTTCTCTTTTATTAGAATTTGAATGAGATTAGGAGAGATTGAATGACCCAAAATTATGAAGGCTTTCAAAACACATAAAATGGATAAATTGCCCGCTGAATTGGGGTTTATTCATCCATTTTATTGGGGAGTCACTCACCCATACAAGAAGAATATCTATCTATCTCTCTCTTTCTCTTATCCTAAAGCTCTCTCCCTAATTCTTCTCATATTTATGTATTTTGCAGCCTCTAGTTTATTGATATTGTAGAATTTTGATCTTGTAATCTACTTCCCATCATTGCTCAGAATTACTACGTTTTGAGGATAAATGAGCAATGGCCTGATAGACAGGGTTAGATGAATCATAAAATTTTCAGGAAATGGTTACTTAAGCCATTTACTTACCATCTTTCAGTGATTTGAAGTTATATATATGTATATATATATATCTGTGTTCTGAACCCTTTTTGATCACCTAAGGGATGGAAACAAAGAACTGTTGAAACAATGGAAGATTCTTCTCATCAATGGGAAAGCTGTAATTTGAAAGAACTTTTGGATGAGCGCCAATCCAACAACTTAAGCCCCACCAAGTACTCTCCTGCTGCAATTTTGTCTTTAATTGCTACAAAAGTGAGAAATTTTGTATGCTTTTTTCTGTTTCAGTGGCACTTTCTTTGATAAAGCACATGTCTCTTTGTTTTAAGCTGATTCAAACTCTTGCATGGTAAACTTTTTTTTAAAACTTAATCCTTCTATTTATTGAGTTCTAGCGGAGGAGTCAGATATTGCTTATGACTGTTCCACACTTTTCTTGGTACATCCAGTCTATAATGAGTCATTATAACTTTCTTTTCAATCAGAGCTTATGGTAGAAACGGTTCAAAGTTTGCTTGCAGTAGAATACTTGTTTTGAAATTAACAAATAGTAGCTTTTACCTTTTAAGTTATTAAAGTTCGACCTTTTTGAAGCATTTGTGCATAGATAAATAAGCTTCCCTCCTCTTTTCCTTTGATCCTCACTACTTAGGATGAATTACTTGTATTGTTACTGGTTTAAAATCTTCCAAAAAAGCCTATTATGAGCCAGTATCACTAATTGTATATACAGCTATCGTGCAGGCACTTTTGGATATGGATCCTAAACTCAGCCGAACTTTCGGCCCCTCGAATTCAACTCCCCTTATATCTGCTGCGACGAGGGGTCACAAGGAAGTAGTAGAGTTGCTATTGGCTCAGGATTCCAATATGGTCGAGTTGGCAAAAACAAATGGAAAAAATGCATTACATTTTTCGGCTCGGCAAGGCCATGTTGATGTTGTAAAAGCATTGCTGGAAAAAGACCCGCAGCTTGCCCTGCGAACTGATAAGAAGGGCCAAACTGCTTTGCACATGGCGGCTAAAGGAACTAACTGTGATGTGGTCAAGGCATTAGTCGATGCCTATCCAGCAATTGTGATGCTACCGGACAAATATGGTAACACAGCACTACATGTTGCCACAAGGAAAAAGAGAGCTGAGGTACTGCTTCCCTATGTTTAAATTTTGAATTATTTCTACTTTCCTTGGTCAGATGTGATTTAGATTCATCAAGCTTTCGTTTTCCTTTTTTTTTTTTTTTTGGTAATTCATGAAGTCAGTGTAAAAGACTTCCGATTAAAGTGTCAAAAATAATCCTTTGACTATTTACATGGGGCATTTTAATCCCAGAGTTTATAAAAGTATCAAATTGGTCCCTGGACTCTCTTATATTGGGTTAAAATAGTCCTTATGGAGAATTATTTTGGCCTCCGTTAAAAGAGCATGGGGATTAATTTGGAGCTTTTATGAACTTTGGGATTGAAATACACCTATAAAGAATCAAAGAATCATTTTGACACTTTTCTCAAAAACATTATAAAGTCTTTTTATGGTAACTTACTTTGGTTTGAATCCTTTTGGCAGATTGTAAATGCACTATTGCTTCTCCCAGACACCCATGTAAATGCGCTGACCAGAGATCACAGGACTGCTTTAGACATTGCTGAAGACTTACCTCTTTCAGAAGAAGCCGAAGTTATCAAAGAATGCTTGTCGCAGCACGGTGCAGTTCGAGCCAACGACTTGAACCAACCCCGAGATGAGCTTCGGAAGACCGTCACAGAAATTAAAAAGGATGTCCACACACAGCTAGAACAGACAAGAAAAACCAACAGAAATGTTCATGGAATTGCTAAAGAGATTAGGAAATTGCACAGGGAGGGAATCAACAATGCCACTAACTCTGTCACAGTGGTTGCTGTGCTGTTTGCCACGGTAGCTTTTGCTGCAATCTTCACTGTTCCTGGTGGGGATGAGGATAGTGGAGTTGCAGTAGCTGTTCTCACCACCTCTTTCAAGATCTTCTTCATCTTCAATGCGATAGCTCTCTTCACTTCGCTGGCGGTGGTGGTGGTGCAGATCACATTGGTGCGGGGCGAGACCAAGTCGGAGCGGAGGGTTGTTGGGGTCATAAACAAGCTTATGTGGTTGGCATCAGTGTGCACCACAGTCGCTTTCATAGCTTCTTCCTATATCATCGTCGGCCACCATTTCCAGTGGGCGGCCATGCTCGTTACCGTTATCGGTGGGGTCATTATGGCCGGAGTTCTCGGGACAATGACTTACTATGTGGTGAAGTCGAAGAAGACACGAAAGCTCAGGAAGAAGGAGAAGTCGTCGAGGAGAAGCGCCGGGTCCAGCTCTTGGCATGTTAACTCCTCTGAATCAGAGATCAATCCAATATATGCTATATGAGGGAGGTGGGAGAAATTTTCCTTCTGTGTATTGTTATTATTTATTATATTCATGGAATTCTCCTAACTTATGATTGAAGCCTCTTCCTTCTGTGTATGGTTTCACTTTCCCATGATTATGGGAGAAATTTTTGTATGATTGCAGTTCAATCCAATATAAATCTTTAATTTCTTGGCATAGATAGCTTAAGACTTGTGTGCTAGTATAGTAGAATTATATTAAAGTTTTGTCATGAATATCATTGAATAAGTGGTCATTGAAAAGAGAAATAAACTGTCAAGTATTTAGGGTTATCAAGGGGCACAACTAGAAGTAACTGATTTGTTAGAAACTCACAATGTTCAGTGAGAAAACTTGAATGTCTATTTACGAGAAGGCATCTAACTTTCCCCTCAAAGGTTCTTACAAAACATAATTGTCACTTTTTTTGGTAATTAGGTCCTTAATTATAATAGTTTTACTTATGTAGCTTAAAGATATGTTTATTAAAATAAGATTAAACTTTAATCACCTCCCTTAAAGGATGATTATTTAGTTTATTATGTATTTTAAGCTAATCTTTAAAGTTTTCCTTTTATGTTAGAAGAGCTAAGATATTTGTTGAACATAATAGTTAATCATGTTAAATCCCTTATGTAAGAAACCACTTAAATAGAACATAAATATTTTACATAAAATTATTTATTCTCTTACATTTTAAGTTCAATTCTTTATATTTAACCTTCTAACGCCAAAATTGAAATTTTAAGCCTCACAAATCACTACTTTGATTTTATTATAGTTCACCCAATTTCATTACATTCATGGTCTAAGTAGATGTTATATTTTAACATCAATGCATCACATTGTGTCGTCACCTTAATTGTCGTTAAATGATCATGAAAATGTAGTCCATCTTGTATGGTAATTGAATGTTTTAGGTCTAGTTGTAAAAGCCTTATGTTCAATATTTATAGTATATGAGTATGTGCATTAACATCTAATTAAATTTGCTCGTAATTAAAAAAAAAAAGGAATCTTCGTCAAATTGCTTATAAAGATTAATGATTTGTCAAAGGCTCGATTTATATGTACTTAGAGTTAAAATGTACTTAATTATAAGAAATGAGGTACAAGTTATTATTAAAGATTTAGCATGAATATTACTAAATAAGTGATTGTTAAAAAAAAGTATATAGTATTTAGGATTATTATAAAGCATAACTAGAAATTACTGACTTATTAGAAGCTTATATGAGAAGATGATAACTTCGAGAATGTAAAGATTGTAAGGTCATTCCAAGTGAAGGTTTAAGTACTCAACATCAATTATTAGTTCTTGATTTTATGATGCAGAGTTGTGAAATAAAGAATACTAGAAAACATTGTTGTATAATTAGATTGGGGCACCTAAGCGACAGATAAAATTATTTTTTTGGGTAAACTTCAAGATTTCAAGATTTTGGATATTCATAAAGAAACAAATTCTATGTTCGATAAAGTAACAAACACTATTAAACAAACACTATTAAACAAGTGACTATTAAACAAGTGACAAAGATATACTTGAAGAATCAAAAGAAAAAATTTCTATAAATAAAAAAAAAGGTTAGTGATGAAATAATAATATGCAAGACAAGATAAAATATAAGAAGTTATGTTATAAAAATCGATTTAAATGTAAAATCTTAGAGAACTGCAAAAAATATAAAATGACTCGTAGGGAATCTAAGAAAACAATCTGTGAAGCTAAAAATTAAGCTTTTAGTGAGCTTTATAATATATTAGATACTTAAGATGGTGAAAAATATATGTATAAACTAGCCAAAAAAGAAAAGTAAGGATTTAACTTAAGTAAAGTGTATTAAAAATAAAAATTAAAAAGTGCTTTTTTTAGATAAAGATATTCAACATAGGTGGGTGAGTTATTTTGATAAACTTTTTAATAAAGTTTTTGAAAATACAATCAACCTTAATGATCTTATATCATTAATCATAATAAAATGTTTCTTTTTTTACCACCACACAAGTAAAAAATAAGTTGAGAAGGCTTTAAGGAAAACCAAAGGTGGAAAGTCTATAGGACCTCATGATATCCCAATTGAAATATGAAAATATATAGGAGATTTGAGAGTTTCTTGGCTTACTAAACACTTTAATATTATTTAAAAAACTAAAAAGATGTACGATATGTGGAGAAAGCGTAGTTTGGCCCCCATTTTTAAGAATAAAGGGGATGCGCAAGAGTGTGCAGAGTGTGCAAATTATCAGAGTGTGCAAATTATCGAGGAATTAAGTTGATGTGCCATACTTTAAAATTATGGGAGAGGGTAATTGAACATAGATTAGGACGCGTTACAAAGATTTCTCATAATTAATTTGGATTTATGCTGGCAGGTATACTATGCAATCTATTTATTTATTGAGAAGTTTTATGGAAAACTTCAGAAAGAATAAGGAGGATCTACATATGAGTTTTTTTTTATTTAGAAAAAGCTTACAATAAGGTCCCAAGAGATATCCTTTGGAGAGTTCTAGAGAAGAAAGGTGTTGATATGACTTATATATGACTTATATTCAATTCAAGTCATTAACGACATGTATACAAGAGTTGTTACTTGTGTTCGAACACAAGGAGAGTTGACCAAAAATTTTCATATTTCAATTGGATTACACCATGGATCAGCTTTTTAAGTCCATATCTTTTTGCTTTAGCTATGAATGCTATTACTTGACATTTATAGGAGATTGTTCCTTGGTGTATGCTTTTCGTTGATGATATTCTTTTCGTGAATAAAACTAGAGAGAAACTTAGAAAAAAAATGGATTGTGGAGGTCTACATTGGAGTATAAGGACCTTTATTTGATTAGAGCTAAAATTGAATGCATGGAATGTAATTTTAGTAGTAGTAGCTCTAGTGACAGAGGTTTAACTATGGGTGATCAAAATATTAAAAAGTATGAACACTTTAGATATCTAGGGCCTATTGTTCAAAGTGATGACGATATAGATGAGGATGTTATTAATAGAATTCAAGTTGGTTAGTTGAAGTGGAGGAATGTTTCAGACTTATTGTGTGATAGAAAAACTCCACTTATTCTAAAAGGAAAAAAAATATAAGATGGTGGCAAGACCGGCAATGCTCTGTCACTGAATGTTGAATTTTAAAAGAAAAACATAAAACTAAGTTAAGTTTTGCCAAGATGAGAATGCTTAGGTGGATGAGTGGCTTTACACTTAGAGACAAATTGCGAAATGAATATATCTATTAATCTCAAATAAATTTAGCAAATTTTAAGCTCATATTAAAATAATTTATTTAAGATAGGTTAATATAAAATTTTATTCAATTAAAAAAAAATATCAGATATTCTTTCTATTGTAGGACAATTTATTATTTCTTAATATTTAAAATCTCTAAATGGAAAAAAATTATATTATTAGAAATAAATATAATATATAAATACTTAATATTAATCTATCCTCACTATTTTTTATCAGATAGTTTTGAAATAACTATTACGAAAGATCTTGGTATGTGTTTTGTATTGTGCATGCCTTTTAGAGGGCTAGGTTCAGGTTCAAAGCACACCCTAATTATTAATCATTAATTTCTAATTTAATTATCATTACGACTCAACTTTCTAATATATAAACATATATTGTATTTTTTATTGACTGAATTTTTAAAAGAAGTTTAAAATTAATCGTAATTAGCATAAGGAGCCAACTGTGCAGGGATTAAGCAAAAAGAAGCTAATGGTATGTTTGCGGCAGCATCAACTTATTAAAAAATTATCATGAAGCTGCTGAAAAATAATCTAATGTTTAAGTAATTGTGGTGATTATTATAATATTTTTTTTTTTTGAAAAAGTAATACCGCAGCTAGAAAATTGCAAACTTTTTGTAAAAATTGTCAAAACACAGTTTACCCAAAAGAGGGGTTGCATTTAATGTGAAACACAATTAAAGCTTGTGTTTCACATCAAATGCTTTTTTACTAATTTTTTATTTGAAATTTAGATAAAGTTATGAAAAAATATATAAAAAACAGAATTTAATAAAATATGATAATAATATTTCATAATTTAAAAAAAAAAGAATTTAATATTAAAATAATTATTATATTTCATAATTTTAAAAGTAAAAAAGGAATTTATATATTAAATATAATTATTATATTTCATAATTTTAAAAGTAAAAAAGGAATTTAATATTAAATTATTTTTTAATTTAAAAATTATGAAATATTATTATCAGATTTTATTTATATATTAAAATTAATAAAGAATTTAATATTACGGTTAATATTATGCTTCTTCTAAAGTTTCAGCCTTCTTTATTTATTTATATATTTATTTATAATATTTTTTTGCTGATTTATAGAATTATTTCGGTCAATAAAGCAGTGACGGTGGATGCGGTGGGAATGCTCTCATCCTACCGAGCAGCCACGTGCGAAAAAAATCTATCATTTTTCGGCACGTGTGCGTTTCCCGACAAAGATGAAGATTGGCAGGTCTTACATGAAACGTGCTGGGTTCCACTTACACTGGAGTTCGGGATTGAAAAATCTACAAAATAAAAATAAGAAAAAGAGAAAATTTACATCCATACCACACAATTCTTACTATTAACATATTTATTACCTAAAATTTCAAATTTATATACATAACCCGTTCTTGTCTATATATATATATATATTTGAAAAATAACAACAAAACAAAATAGAAATTAGAAGCAGATTGAAGTTCTCTGCCACAGTGAAAACATAAAACAGTCTCATAAAATCAGAAGTTACATTCAGAAACTTCAGTGTTTTAATTGATGTTCTGTTGGGGGCAACTTGCGTTTCAGGGTAACACGACCCGCAAGTCGATCGTGGGGGTCGATCTGCACCTGCGTTTAATGTAAAAAACCCAAATGCAGTAGGCAATTTTTTCTAAAACGCACAAACTAAACGGTTAATATAAGCTGTCCCGAAGAAGCTATGAGAAAGAAAACCGAGAACAACAATAGAAAATCCGAAAGATCCGCACATTTAGCCGAAATCCATCTCCACATAGTGATATTATTATTGTAATATTAACGTTTGGTGTTATATCAATAAATATGAAAGTTTGAGTGTTAGATATATAAATAAGTAAGAGTTAAGTGGTATGTATGCAAATACCCTTAGCTGTTATAGTTTTACGCAGTTTCCTGCTTCCTTCCTTCTTTAGTTTCCTGCGCGCTCTCTTTTTCTCAGTCATGGAAAAGCTGTCGTCATCTCAACCACTTGTTTTGTTCACTTATATCGCGAAGGAGATCCGTTGCTTCCTTCTCTGCCCCAATGCGTTCCTCGCCGCTTTTGAGGGGTTTGATTTCAATGGATTGAGTTGGATTTTGGATTCTGATCTTTGTCAGCTGAAAGAAGGTGCGATTTTTGTTTTATTGCGTACTTCTTCTTAGATTTTGCGGCACATTCGGATCTTTGATCCCACAAAAGACTTTGTTTTGATAATTTTCCCTGGCCGGGTTTCTGCTCTGCAGATCTGGATCTCAGGAAAATTATAGCAAAAATGTGAATTTGAAGTCTTCAAGTCATCTTTCTGACGGTTTTGGTTTGGTTCGTGTTTCTTAGGTTTGGGTCACTTAGCCCATGCATGCCAACTGTTTGTTAGAATGTCCGTGTAGGCTTTGCTTAGCTGAGTTTTACGAAGGCGCGCCATTGTAGAATCCTTTTATTGACTTCTTCAGTGTAAGATGCGAAGTTTGAGAGAAAGAAGAAATCTTGGGTAAGGATGGATAGAAAAGTGTGGGTGGACTTTGAAAAGTTGTTAACTTTTATGTTTTGCTGGTCTCGAACTGTGTGTGTCCGTGTGTTCAAATCACCAGGCTGTTTGGCAATGGATTTAAGGTTTTCCAAATTTACGCAGGATTTAAGCGAAATCCTGCCAGACGTCAGTTTTAACAAAATAAATTCCTGGATGCCTTAAATTAGGATTCCACGGATTTCAGCTGTAAATTCCGGATTTACTAAATCCTACGACTCGGTGGATTTAACTTCGTGGGGTTCGGATTTATGGTGTAGAGCGGTAACAGCTGTGGCGATAACATGGGATAATGTTATCTCTTCCTCCCAACGGTCTTCCGTATTTAAATTCTGGCAGAAATTGCCAAATAGTTTTATTGGATTTACACCATTTAGTAAGTCTGTTGCTAAACAGTTTTCTGGATTTAACCCATTCAGGATTTAGTAAATCGGTATTTACTAAAGTCTAATCACTTAAATCTAATCTCATCTATTGCTAGACAACACTTGTTGCGGCTTAAAGTTTATGTATAGCATCAAAAAGGTTTTCTCATGATCTCAGATGATTTTGTGCTGCAGATTTTGATACTTGCTGGTTATTATCCAGGGAGAAGAGAAATTAGAAAAAGGTGCTGCATTTAACTTCTAGAATAGCAGCATGGAGTCAACAACTGAGCAAGAGAGCTGCAGCTGGAGTCGAAAGAAGACAAGAAAGCAGCCTACAGCTAAACGGGATGATGGATCTCTGCATTCAGCTGCAAGAGCAGGGAATTTAGCCTTGGTAAATGAGATTCTTATGGGTTTGAAGGATGAGGAATTGAGAGAGGAGTTGTTGAAGCTGAACCAGGCTGGAGAGACTGCATTGTACGTGGCTGCGGAGTATGGATTTCAGGATATAGTTAGTGAGATGCTGAAATATCATGACATTAAGATTGCTGGAATTAAGGCTAAGAATGGTTATGATCCATTGCATATAGCAGCCAAGCATGGTGATTTTGGTATGATCCACATTGCATTCTTATAGTTTTTTCTAAAATTGTTTTTCGGATGATTTATTAGTATATGATTTTGCAGTTATGGATGTTGCTGAAGCATAAGTGATGCAAAACTTTTTTTTCTTAGAATTGTTTGTATTATGATTCTAAATTCTTTATTAATGTAGCTTATATAGAAAAATTTAAGAGGGAGAAAATTGATATATTCAGACTGAAGTTGGTGTCTCTATGTTGGCATAAAAGGTCAGTACAAAAAGCAGAAAATTATGATGTGAATATCTCAATTAAGAGGCCATAAAACATGCTAAAATCATCTCTCCTAATATAATGCTTTTCGAAGATAGCATCTACCTGCCTTGTTATTTTTCTAAGGTAACAGAAGCAAAGCTAGGCTGTTTTGGCATGATCTACATCTGTGTTTTAATCAATTTTAAATAATTGTCATTAACTTTTTACAACATAATTGAAACAATACTGTTGTTTAGAAGTGTATGTTTTTGTTTGCTTTAGTTATTTGTAAGTCTATCGTATAGCCCCTTTGCCTCCCTTTTCTTAAATCCATTGTTTAACTTGTTTACCGAAGTTATAATTTTTTTAAAACAAACTTAACATTTTTGCTGGGCAAATTGTGTAAGTTTAGGAAGATAACTGTTTTTTTTTTTAAATCTGCTACATTATTTACTAGTTTACCCATGAATCACCTTTGTTATTTTTTTCTTTCCAGTTTCCATCAGTTTACTTACTGAATCATCTGCATTATTTTTAAATTTTAGTCTTTATTTGGACCATCTTAAATGAATTTTACACTATATGTTTGAACCAGGAAGCTATAATGATAATAGTTTCAAAAGTCCTGAATAAAGGAAAATAAATTGGTATTGAATGAACCCCTACCACCATTCAGTAGGTCAAGTTTGCCTTAATTATTCCTTTATTCCATGCATCATTTCTTTTAAGGAATCCTATGGTATGTATGTAAATGTCCCTTGGTACAGCCACCTGCAACAAGGAAGAAGAGGGGCACAAAAAGCTAATTGGAAAAGGGAAGTTTCTTTCTATCAAAAGCAGGGAAAAGCTATCACATACGGAGAACCTTTCTCCTTTTCTCCACTACTGCGGGGTAGAAGGGTCATAACTCCTAACCAAAAAGTATATTCACTAAACAACTATTTAATAATACTAAAGCAGTGTTAACTAATATAATAATGATAATTAGACAAGGATAAATTGAGGCCCGCTTCATCAGTTGCTCTCCAACTTTGAAGAACCCGTCTCGAGTTCAAAAACTTGGGTTTGGCCATCATCAGGAGGAGAGATGTTGAGTTCGGGTGGTAGCTGAATAACATAGGTATTGTATTTTATTTTGCGAAAGATAGGGAAAGGCCCAAATAAATTTTCTTGGTTTCAATTTAGAACAAGTGCCGACTGAAAAATGCTCTTTGCGTATATGAACCATAACCAAGTCTCCTACATTAAATTCTTTATGCCTGCGATGTTTATCAACTTGTAACTTGCACTTTGTTGCACTGGCAGTAACCTTCGGGCAAGCATCTTGAAGGGTGGCAATGAAGTCCATTGCTAATTGACTAGCAACTTTACTGTTCGGTTTTCGTATAACAACCAAATCAACGATATGGTGGGAGCCGTAATATAAACAATGTCAAATGGAGCCTGACCTGTGGAACGGTTCACCATAGAATTATAGGCGAATTCAACTTAACTTAATACTTGATCCCATCTCTATGCTTGCTTGCCTGCTAGACACCTAATTATATTTGCAAGTGTTTTGTTGGTGACCCCCGTTTGGCCATCAATTTGTGGATGATAAACTAAACTCATTTTGAGGTTGGTTTGAAATTGCTTCCAGAGTTCTCTCCAAAAATGGCTTACGAATTTGATATCGCGGTCAGAGGTCAAGCTTCGAGGTATGCCATGCAATCTAACAATGTCTTTGAAAAAGATTTGCCACATTGAGTTCGTCAAATGTTTTCTTACAAGCAATAAAATGTGACATTTTTTAAATAAGAATCCACAAACATCATTACATAATCCATCTCATGCTTTGTTTTCGACAACCCCAAAACAAAATCAAGACTTAAATCATCCTAAATTGAATCTAAAATCGGTAATGGGTTGTATAAACCAGTGTTTTATGAGGATCCTTTGTAAGTTCGACATTTGTGACAACAATCCACATATCTTGATACATCCCATCGGAGTTTAGGGTAGAAAAAGCGAGCTTGTAATAATGACAAAGTTTATCTCCTCCGATGTGAGCTGCTAGAACACCACCGTGAAGTTCTTGAACTAGCCTCATTCTCAATGAGGTATTTCATATACAAAGCTGATTTTCTTTAAATAAATACTCTTTTTGGAGATAATACTCGGCAATTGGACCTGCTTTGCATTTACTCGAGATTCAACAAAATCAAAATCGTCGGCTTATAAGTCTTTAATAGATTCCATACCAATGATAGTGGTTAGTAGGGACTCTAGGAGGTTGGCCCGTCTACTCAAAACGTCAACAACTGTGTTAGACGATCCATCACATGTGCATTCGATTCAATGTTTTCTGAGTTTGCAGAAATTGTAGAGATCAATGATCACTTAACAAAATAAATACTTGGTGAAGAAAGTAGTGCTCCCAATGTTTTTATGCTCTTATGACAATATATAATTTTGCTCATATGTGGATCATCTTTGACGTGGCTAACTCAGCTTCTCACTAAAAAGTTCGTTGGGCTTTCCTTCGTGAAACAAAACTGCACTAATCCGAATAGCGTAGGCATCAACATCAACTTGGAATAGTTTGTGAAAGTTGGGAATGCTTTATACAGGGGCTGCTCTCAATTTGTCTTTGAAGTTTTCAAAACTTCTTTGTTGCTCAGGCTCCCACGTTTTTTTTTTTAAGGGCACGTGTGATTGGTCCCATAATCATGGTAAACCCTCTTATGAATCGTCGATAGAATTTGGCGGGATCATGAAAACTTCAAATCTTCAAGACAGTAGATGGAGACGACCACGACTTGATTGCTTCAACCTTCCGTGGTCACTATGGACTTCTGATTTATCAATGATGAACCATAGAAAAAGCACGCTTGAAATAGCAAATTCACATTTGGACTTGTTCAAATATAATTTTTGTTCACATAGAACTTATAGGACAGCAGTCAAGTGCTTGAGGCGATCCGACAATGAAGAGTTGTAAACTAAGGTATCATCAAAATAAATGATACAAAATTGATCAAGAAAATGTTTGAGGACTTCATTGATGAGTCACATAAGCATGCCTAGTGCATCACATAACTTGAACGACATCGCACACCATTCATATAGCCCTTCTTTAGTTTTCAGGGTTGTTTTTCTTTCATCACCTGCACGAATACAGATTTGATGGTACCCACTTCTTAAGTCCAACTTGGAAAAAATAGATGCATCGGCAAGTTTTTCCATGAGATCCTCAAATTTTGGCATAGGAAAATGATACTTTATAGTAATTTTGTTTATAGCTCGATTGTCTACACATATTCGCCAATCCATTCTTGTTAGGGACAAGTAAGGTTGGTATCGTGCACGGGCTGAGGATAGGGCGAATGTACTCCTTGCTTAAGAGTTCCTCATTGATTACTTTTAGCCAACCTAGTTCTTTTGACTCATTTGGCTGCTCCAGGAATCAGATCAATTTGATGTTGAATTGATTGGATGGGACGAAGCTGTTTTGGCAATTTAGCAGGCATAACATCTGCAAACTGTTGTGGTAAATTCTGCATTTCCTATGGTAGAATTAAGGTCTTCATTTCTGCAGTTTCGGCTACATGATCTATCACTATTACCCCTAGTAACCACGAGTGATGTTTGCATCCTGCAATCAACTGTGAACCAGAAATGAAAGTAAAAGCTGATCTCTCCGCTTGAGGTGACTCTCCTGCTGAGATGCGGAGGAGTTGTTTTGCAGCAACTGGACTTTTTTACCTTGTCATTCAAAGACGTATGCATTACTCTTCCATCATACCAAGCCCTGGTGTCATACTGTCAAGTCCTACCTAATATGAACATACATCCATACAACTTCGCATTTATATTTGCCTTCATATGGAGAATGAGACTTGGCATGAATTATTCACTGCTATTTCCAAACCTTTCTTTACCCAACCAATTTTATATGAATTTGGGTGTTTGGTGGTTTTTAATTGTAAGGCTTTAACCATCTTTTGTTACATTATATTCTCCGTACACCCACTGTCGATAAGTAGATCACAAACTTTTCCCATAACAGTGTATCTAGTGCGGAAAATCTGACGCCGTTGAGATGTATTCATTTGTTTAGGAACCAATAGAATCTTTTCTAAGATGCAAGATAAGAATTCACCGTCATCTGCTATGAGATTTTCACAATCATCGATTGGCGGTAATGTCTGTGTTGTCTCCCAACTCTTGTTCACCTTCATTCAATTGAGCTTGTCGGCAGTTAGGGCAGTCATTAGAACGAAACCCTGGCTGCAAACATTGGAATTTGAATGGCCCCAAGTTGTTGTAAATGTTATCTTTGACAATGTTTGACTTTGTTAGTCCCTTTCCTTATGCGGATGATTGATTTGGATATAGTTGCACTTGAAGAGAGCTTTTTTATGCACTGGAATTTGGACTTCTTCGCTGATCGATGCTTGATCCTCACTAGGTTGCTTCCAAGTGTTAAATTTTGCGCTCAAGAGAGTTGCAATTTAGCTTTGTAAGCAAAGTTAATAGCCTAGGATAGTGACCAACAACATTCGTCTCTAATTTTTCTTGAATAGGTTCTTTGAGACCGCCAATGTATCTCATCGCTAACTGTTGATTTGTTTCATTTAGATCGTTACGGGCACTCAATAAATAATACTCATTAGTGCATTCACTAATAGTGTGGTTTTCTTAAGTAATTTTTTTATATTGTAAATATAGCATTTGTAATCGGATGGTAGCAAAATGACTTCTCATCAGTTATCGCATCCTCCTCCAGCTTCGTATACAACTTCAGCTTTTTTCCTACTGGATTGAGTCAGTTGAACCCACCAAACACCGACCACCCCGTTGAATTTGCAAGCAACAAGTTAACTTGATTTTCTAATGGAATATCCATGTAGTCGAAGAAAGACTTGGCCGATTGCTCCCAATCTAAGTAATCTTTTATGTGCAAATAACCATCAAAGGAGGGTTTGTCAATTTTCACCTAATAATCTCCACCATCTCTACCTTATGAATGGTGATGTTTGTAATTGGAATCCCAAGAGGGAATTTCAACCTCTGAATTAGAGTTAGAAATGGTTGCATATCGGTGAAGATGTCGGTCCTCGTCGAACACAGATTCTTGTTACGATTGGTTAACTCTTGCCTTCGAGGTCGCCTTGGGTCTCAGAGTTAACACAACGACATCTCCAAGATCAAGTGTGGTAGCAATGCTCACCGGTGCGGTTGTCGGTGGAAAATGTCTATTGATCCTGATTGCTCATAGCTCACTCCTCTCCTCATCCACGAACTTATTGAAAACAGGTTTAGGGGCATCAAATCGTAGCTCAAGATAGGAGTGAGCTTCGCACAAATCCTTCCAATTGCGATCGTCATTGCGATTGGTATTTGGGGTTCCGTCTCCCATTAGGCTCTAATATCGAGCTGGTGCAGCTACCTGCAGCAAGGAAGCTAAGGTGTAAACGAGCCGAGTTTGAGTGAGCCCAGGCTCTCTTCGTGTTCGGCTCATTAAAAAATTCCATTGTTCGTGTTCGAATTGTTTATATAGAGCTTAAAAAAATTATTCATGCTTGACTCGTTTGCTTAGCGTGCCGAATACGAACTGTTTACGAACAACGAGCCTTTTTGATAACCCTAGTCACGCAGCTGTAAGATGTTAGAGGTAAGGGTGAGATTTAAATATTTATTTTAATTAAAATATTAATTTAAATATAATTTAATATATATTATTCTATTTTTAATTAATAATTTTAATTGATTATAAATGTTTGTTGCTTTTAGTTAATTAAATTGTTTAAAAATAATATTCATGAATTACACCCACAGGGCTCATTTTGACTTGAAATAATTAAATTATATATATACATATATATATATATATATATGTATATATATAATTTAATTATTTCAAGTCAAAATGAGCCGAACATGAACGGACAAAACTTTATTTGTGTTTGGCTCGTTTATATATCGAGTGTAAAAAAATTGTTCGTGTGCAGCTCGTCTGCTTAGCGAATAAACCGAACACGAGTTACTTAACGAGCCGAACATGAGCTGTTTGTGAACAACAAGCCATTTTGACAACCCTAAAAGGAAGAAGAAGAGCACAAAAGGTTAATAGGAAAAGGGAAATTTCTTTCTATCAAAAGGCCGGAAAAAAAATGTCACATAGGGAGGACCTTTCTCTTTTTCTCCACTACCACGGGGTAGAATGGTTATAACACCTAACATAAAAAGTATATGAACTAAACAAATATTTAGTAACACTAAAAGAGTTTACTAATATAATAATGGCAATTAGACAAGGATAAGTTGAAGCCCGCTGCATCATCCCTTATTTCTATTTCATATTTTTCATCTCTTCTTATTGAACTCCGATGATCTTCCATGGAAAAAAACCAAATGGTTGTTAAAACACTCTACAAAAAGAATTTGATCCTATAATTTGATAAAATAATAATGACTTTTGCTACCATAACTTCTGGCCAAATTAGTTGTTTCATCTTCACTCAGCCAACTGGCAAACTGAGCACATTAAGCTAACGAAACAATTCTTCTTGCAAGATGTTTTAAAGGAGCTGCTGAAGGCCTTTCCAGAGCTTGCCATGACAGTGGACTTGTCAAACACAACACCATTACATACTGCTGCTTCTCAAGGGCATCTCGAGATTGTATATCTTCTTCTTGAAGTGGACAACAGTTTGGCAAAAATCACAAGAAGTAATGGGAAAACGGCTCTGCATTCTGCTGCCCGGAATGGACATCTGGAAGTTGTGAAGCTTCTATTAGATAAAGATTCGGGGATTTCCTGCAGGCATGATAATAAGGGGCAAACCGCATTACATATGGCAGTTAAAGGACATAATCTGGAGGTTGTAGAGGAGCTTCTCAAGCATCAACCGAGCTTGGTGAACGTGTTGGATATGAAGGGAAATACAGCGTTGCATATGGCGACTAGAAAGGGGCGTCCACAGGTAAATCTTTTTCAGTTTTTGAGAGAGAGTTTCTGATTTTCACAATGTTATTCGTTTGTTATCTATGATTAGTAGTAGATCAAGATTTGTTGAGAATGGTAGAGGTGCAATACATAGAATGAATTTCATTTGAAGTACCAAAGAGTTGGTCATGTGGTTGTCAACCATTTTGATGAATTTCTTCCTTAGATGGCCACCTTTATTGAGTTCTAGTGAGTTAATCTTAAGGATATTGATTAGTTTAGGTAGGTAATCATCTATTAAGCGGTAATAGTTGTCTATTGGTAATAGCGGATCAGAAGTGTCTTAGCTTATTTGTTGATTTTTGCAGGAGTCTTCCTTAGTATTTAGTTATTTAATGTTTAGTAACGTAATTCTTAGAACTTGTAGACATTCAATTGTGATCTTTAGAAAGATTCTGTGCTTCTTTCTATATAAAGAATTTTTTATTTTTAATTGCTTTCTTTGGTCTTTTTTTATTATTTGCCTTTTCATGACTATAAAGCCCTTCTTATGCATTCCTTAATAGGTCTCTTCACATAGTTCATAGCTACACCATCATGTCTTGCTAACTGCTGTTCTATCGAAATTATTGGCAGTGGGTTCAAGCATTTTTATCTTCCTAAGAGAAGGTTGACATCTATGTGTTGGCCATTTCAAAAATTAGCGTAAGTCCCAAGTCCTGACATGCATAATAAATCATTTCCCTCTTAGTTATAGTTTGATGCCTCCACCAAGTCTATCTAGTCAAACCTTGGTAAGCCAACCAAGATGGTGTTTGGCCGCGTTCCGGATTTATGTTAATGAAGATTTAGTAAATCTGATAAATTTGGATTTATCAAATCGTTATTGGCGAAAAGCGCACCATGTAATAAATCCTTTAAATCCATCTGCGAATGGGATTTAATAAATCCATATTTACATTGGAAAAAAAAGACGAAAAGAGCGATATTTCATTTAACGGAGCGTAGGATTTAAATGTCTCATTTTCGATGTTTGGTTGGGTTAACGTTAAATCAATGCCTAAATCCTATTAAAAATATGCTACCAAACATAATAAGTTGGTTAACTTAAGACAAACTAAGTTTAATCCTATGAAGTGGGGTCCATTAGATCAAACTAGGTGAATAGGTGCAAAGCAAGCTCAATCGAATCAAAGGGAACAAACACACACACAAGCAAGCATGTAAGTCCATGCATGGAGTTTTGTTGATTGTGTAAATGTAACTATCATAATTCAAATGAAGGATGTAGATTGATCATCTAGATGTCTATAGACTAGACTCCATGAAAATATAGCCGGTCATATTGTCATTAACTCTATTGTACTAATTTGTTTGAAAATTGGCCCCAACTCCTCTCATAATGCCGCTATCCTCTTTCCTCTTTATATAGGTATTTAATCCCAAACTCTTAAGGGGACAAGGGAATTCCCCTTGGCTTCTTTTTAAAAACCTTTTTTGGTGGAGGAAGATATACAAATTGAAGGAGAAAATAGAGAGTCTACCATCGTGGTGCCATAGCAAATATATCACGGGTGTAAGTTAGGTGCTCTTAAAGCTCAAGGCCCTCCATGCTTCTTTCTCATTGGGGCATCTGCATTGCTAATTGTCAACTCAGATGATCCACCTAAGACAACTTTCGTTGCATGTCACTATCCCTTCAACTCACTAGCTAAGAAAACAAAAAGAAAGAATATGCTCAAAACTTAATCTGCACATTCATAACATGAGCTTAAATAGGGTATTACAACGTTTTACAAATAAAACACAAGACTTCTTCAATATTTTTTTTTGCCAATAGGACCCTAAATAAGGTTAGGACCCTAAATAAGGTCATTCTCAACACTCCCACTCAAGATGGGCAAAAGATATCCACTAAGCCCATCTTGTCACATAACCTAGACAAATCTAATGAACTAGGTTCTTTAGTGGGGCAGTCAGCCACTTGCTCTCCATTGGTTACATGACTTAGCTCTAGTAAGCCGTTATTTAGCATTTTCTTGATGAAGTATCTATAAATTTCCATATGTTTGGTTCTATTGTATTGCACCGGGTTGTCATCAATGTTGATTGTTGACTTGTTATCGTACCAAACATACACATTCAAACACGTTCAATGGGAGGATCAAACTTCTCTATTGATTGTCTGTTATTCTTTACAAAACATACACATCGAAACACCTTCAATAGAAGGATCTCACTATTATCTTCTTTCAACGTATGACAAAGTGACTTTCAACCCAACACCTTCGATGGCATCCTAATGATCAATTGAGCAACTATCAAAATTACTTGCCTCAATGCGTTGGGACATTCATTGTGATCATCATGCTTCAAGAAACTTCTAGCAGGTGTATATTTTTTGTCTCAAATACTCCATTTTATGTCGGTGTTTATGAGCATGTGGTTTGATGATATATCTCTTGGGCTGACAAGTATTCCCCAAATGCTTTGTTGATATACTCTGTTTCATTATCAAACTTCAATACCTTCACTATTGTACCATATTAAGTCCGGATTGACTTGTGGAAGTTTTTACATAAAGCAAAAACATAATCTTTATTTTTCATCAAATATAACACGAGAAAAACAATCAATAAAGATCACAAAGTAACCATGCAAGATTTGTAGAACAAGATTCCTAAACATCAAAATGAATCAAGTCAAAAACACCAAAATTTCTATTCTCATAGCTGATATAAGAGCTCATAGTAAGCTTGTTAAACTCTCAAACATCACAAACAAGTTTTTGTTTATTTGTTTTTTCATACAAAGAATGATACAATCAATTCAATAAGCTAAAACAAGAGTATCATATGTGTCTGTAATGTAATTGCAACACATCCTCCACACTCCTCCCTTATTCTCTTGCTTCATCACTCTTTATAATAAATTTCAAAGTTGAGTCCATCCCCTCCCGGTTCAAGTACCACAGTTCACTATGCCACATTCCGGTCTGAAGTGTCTGACCCGTCTCTTTCTCTTGAAAGATCACTTTAGGAATATCAAAAGAAACAACACATTTTAGTTGAAGTATAACACTAATGGATAAAAACTTTACTTAAAAATGAGCATGCAAAACAAAACATATAATTGTTATTCCTCACTGTACTCTTGCCAACTACAGGTTGTGTTGTATCACTTGTGCGGAGTACTTGCTGAGGTGGTGGTTCCTGTCGAGACACTAGCTCCCTGTATGAGCCCGATTAAGATTTTTAGAACTTCAGGATCTAGCTTTCTCATAAGTTCCAATTTTTTACCTCCCGCACTATCTCCATCGCCTGACATCCTTAAACACAATAACCTAAGTCTAGAGCACACACAAATTTAATCCCTCTCTTCTGTAAGCTGCGATCAAGTTGTGGTCTCTGGAAGTCGTGATCTGTATGCTGCGATCTCGTGGACGCCTTCCCCTAGAAAGTTCTCGTCGCAAACTCTTTTCCTTGAGTTCTATTACAAACTCTTTTTGTCCTTCGCAGGCCGCCGGTTCCGTCGATGTCTTGCCCCAACAAGCTTCCATCACGAACCGTCTCCTTCACAAGATGCAAATCCTGTGGTCCTTTTTGGCTCACGACAGTATCACATTGATCTGTACAAGAGCCTGCGATGCTCTGTTCGTCGCACTCCCCTGCAGATGCGGTAGATGGTCTCTGTACGCGTAGGCCAATCCCGCCGTCCGAAATTGTTAAGGGTTGGCTTTGATAGCAGAAAGAAAGAATTTGCTCAAAACCTAATCTGTACATTCATAAAATGGACTTAAATAGGGTATTACAATGTTTTATAAATAAACTCCTAGACTTTTTCAATATTTACTTTTTACCAATAGAACCCTAAATAAGATCCAATTCTCAACAAGAAGTTTTAATGAAGCTTAGGTCATTGATGTCGGACGTATTGAATTTTATTTTTTTGGGTGGTGGGGCATTGAAATAGGCCTAAGCCATTTTCTTATACACAATTTGCTTATTTAGCTGGGCTAGGCCTATAACACCCTCGGTAGTGCATGTTGAGTAGTGTTATTTCTTGGCATTTTGGGTTTGGCACCTCTTAGTTGCCTCCTACATGGGAGCTACCAGGAAATGTTATCAAAATTTTGTGGGATTGTAAGACTTAAAACAACAATAAAAAAGATTATCACAAGAGATTTGAAGATTTTACAATTTGTGGGGACTTGGATAGAAGACTAAATAATTATATTGTAAGAAATGGTAAAATAACTTGTTTGCCCCACAATAGAACTCTTCTTGTTATTGAAGTAAATAAAGCAAGCTTGAGTTGAGTGGAGTTATTTAAAAACCTTATCACACTCTTACCTTTGTAAAATGAGTGAAGAAAGAACAAGAAGCCTAATTTAAGGCCCTGAGGATAAACCAAATGATGCGATGAATAATTGATTGGCTTAGTTCAAAGTCACCCTGTAAGCGTACAAAATGCCCGGTTGGATCGCTTCGAGAATGATGTTCGGACGATTAATTTATACAGGCATACCTCGATAGCCTGCCATACAGATGATTCATATAATGGTAAAATGTTCTTTATGGGCATCATGCAGAATATTCACCCAGGGACATTTCGATGAAATATAGTGAAACATAGTAAAATGTTAAGTACATATGAGAAACTGCAGTTGCAGGAAGTGTGCCTCATTTCCAATTAATAAATAATAAGTGATATTCATTCATGTTGAGTCGGTCAACCACGGTACATTTTGTTGTCACCTTTTTAGTCATGTAGCCATGTTATTGGCAAGGCTACATCATACAATCAACATCATGTAAGTGTTTAATATAACATCAACAATCAAAAGATGATATTGGCCTTAAAATTTGCTTATAATGTCTTTACATTTCTTTGCAACATTGTCGGGAAAAAAAAACAAAACAAAACAAAAAAAACCTTATACTCTGTTTTAGGCACAGAAACTTAAAAAAAAAAAAAAAGTGAAAATTTATTAAGAAATGCATCAATGTTCTCAAACACTTCTAACCCATTACAGCAGGAGTTTAGTTTAAAATTTTCATTTTCACTTTTTTTATATATATATACATTATTATATGTTTGACTTTATCAATTGAATATTCAAATAAGCATGCTAACATCAACTCAAAGAAATAGATAAGAGCTACGCTTTGAAGAATAAATCATAGCAAACTTTAAAATTAGGCGTAACCATATTGTAACTTAACATATAGTGAGCATACTTTCCTTGCATAAATTAAATTAATTTTTTGATATTGTCATATTTTTGTTTCCAAGTATATGTTCTAATGCCTTCACCCATAGTTTCTTCTTATGACTCGAAAAATTGATTCCCTCACAGCTATCACAATCCATAGCTTCTTTTTTATCAGTTATAATTTCTTTCACGCTTGTTTAAATTCCATAAAACATACATCCATATTTTCTCACAAAGAAAATTTCTCCCAGATTGTGATGACGCTGCTAAACTTCAAGGAAACAGATACAAGAGTAATCAACAGATCAGGTGAAACAGCTCTAGACACTGCAGAAAGAGCCGGAAACTCAGAAATCGTCGCATTACTAAAGAAACATGGCTTACAAAGCGCAAGGACGATCAGACCAACCCACGCCGCCCATGAACTAAAGCAAACCGTTAGTGACATTAAACACGGCGTTCACTCTCAACTCCAGCACACACACCAGACAAGCAAACATGTATTAGGCATTGCCAAAAGACTCAAAAAACTCCACCGAGAAGGCCTCAACAACGCAATCAACTCGACCACCGTTGTTGCCGTTTTGATCGCCACCGTTGCTTTCGCTGCCATTTTCACCGTTCCCGGCCAATACGCCGACTCCATAAGTCCGGGAGTTTCACTGGGAGAGGCCAACATAGCCCACCAAATGGCGTTCATGATCTTCTTCATTTTCGACTCGGTGGCCCTCTTCATATCCCTGGCTGTGGTGGTGGTTCAGACCTCTCTAGTGGTCATAGAAAGCAAGGCGAAGAAGAAGATGATGGCCATTATTAACAAGTTGATGTGGCTTGCGTGTGTGCTTATTTCGGTTTCGTTTCTTTCCCTTTCTTTTGTTGTGGTTGGGAGAAGTGAGATTTGGATGGCGGTTGGAGTTACAATTATGGGGACTGGTATAATGGCGGCGACTTTGGGTACTTTGACATATTGGGTGATTGTGAACCGAATCGAGGCTAAGAAGATGAAGAGTAGTAGGAGGTCGTCGCTGAGCAGGTCTGGGTCGAGGTCATTGTCGAGGTTTTCAGATGTTGATTTGCTATATGGTGAAAAGAAGAAAATATATGCAATTTAAAGTACTGCTAATGGTTAGTGTCATTTGTTAATGTTTCGAAATAAGAACATTTTATTGCTATCTTTGCTGATAACTTGGGGACTGGGCTGAGTTACTGGACAAGGATGGTGATTGAAAATTAGAATTGAAAAATGAATTTTGATATTTTTTTGTATATTCATCATAGTATATTGAGATAGTTTTATTTCTTAATTTTGCACCAAGATTCTAACATATATGCAAATAAAAGAATCTTGCAAGAGGCATTTAACTTCTTGTGGAAAACTTGGAAGAAACAAAATTAATTTTATATGTTATGCTGTTAATTACAAATGATGTTATGTTTCTTAAATAGAGACTTACATATGATGAGTTCCATAGGGAAAGTTGGAAGTCTTGGGACATTCGAGTTATTTTCAAGAGTTTAATTAATGATATGTTTTGTCGTTCTTCTTTGAGGAGGAAATAACATGGATTAGAGACCACGATGTCCAGTAAAAAGTTTGATATCGTTGTCCGGCATTATAGCTAGTGTATATGGCAGTCAATCATAGTGGTGATGGCATATGCCGGCATTGTTAGTAATTGTAGGCCATGAAGTCGATGGACATCTTTGTTTGTGTCATAGTCTTGAATCAATCTTATTAGTGATATCCTTCGATCAATGTTGTTTCTGATAAAAAGTGATAGTTGGCACTGGCAGACATCAATACTTATGTTAATGTCTTACCTTAACTTTATAAAAGATGTCATGCATTGAAATTATTGATGATAACTGCTGTCATTAGATTAGCAAAGAATTATATATGTATGTATGTATGTATGTATGTATGTATATGTGTATGTGTGTTCACGGGGCTATAGAAAAATGAATATTAATACATATCCATATTGTAATATAAGATGTAAAGTGGCTCATTTTATTGAACAGACAACTTTTATCCATATTTGATCAAATGCTTTCATAAAGTTTAACTGTATATGATGATATTTTTATGTTCAACCCGATTGATGATTAATATTTTAACATATTAAATATAAGTTAATTGAGTTTTTTTAATGACATTAACGTGTGGTGTAATTATAAGCCTGCAGGCATCCGGGGTTGCCCACCTACTTATAACTTGCTATTTATCATAATATATTAAGCTAAGAGCTTCTAAAAGTTTAAACAACTTGGCCCTTTTATATATATATATATATATATATATATAAATCTCTTAGAAGATTAAACCTTTTTAAAGAATTGAATCATTAATTTCAAAAAAAATCTATCCTTGGTTAACATTTGTGAGTGCTATAAAACAATTTGCAATTTAACCAAACCTTCTTGGATTTAAATTGCAACGTGCAATGTGACTTCAACAAGGACTACATTCCAGGAAGCAGGTGGGGCCGATGATGGGTCGACGACGATGGCTATTGGAGGCGGGGGTGGTCGGAGGTATCAGAGGCGGTGGCGGCCGAAGTTGGACGGAGATGGTGAAGGTCGGAGGTGGCTGAAGGGCAGAAGCGACCGGAGTTTGCCTGAGGGCAATGACTGGATTTGGTTGGAGGCAAAGAGGAGGCGGAGGTGGCCGGATTTGGCTGGAGGCAAAGGCAACTGGTGTCGGAGGCGGCAACGCTGGATCAGAATTGGCGAGCGATGTTAACTCGTGACCGCAGGAAGGAGAGGTCGACGGTGGTCGAAGGTGATTGGTAACTGCAGGTGCAAGAGGCGAACGATGGAAGGATGTGGTCGGAAGTGGTGAAATCAGTCGAAGGCGGAGGGGGTTGAATGCAGGGCGACCAGAGTTGGCCGAATCTATGGTGTAGAATGTTGGGCTAATGCTCCCTCTTCTCTATGCTCTGGTCTTCCCCTTGCTCAGGGTCTAGTTCCCTTCTCATGAGGGGATAGGGCTCTACTTATAGAATACATTTTACAAAAAAGGAAGTAATTCAAATCACTCTTAATAAACTACATAGAGCGATTATTTTGATCAAACGGTATTCAATGAACATTTTAGTGTCTTAATGATATCGAAATTGAAGTATATTGGGCTTGTTAGATTAGTCTTATCGAGTCACTCGGTTTGATTAGCATGTCATATTCAAAATCCATTCAATTTTTCAATTATATCTTTTAAACTGGTTTAACAATTTGATCATATTTTTGTTTGACTCGGATTAGACCAATTTTGATGCAGTGGGGTCCGTGTCATTGAGTCGATTAACTGTAAATTTGTTGAAATTTAAGTTCTGAATGTCTTTTAATTAAAATTTGAACATTTTTTACTAAAAAATTGTCTTGAGATGATGCTTTGAAATTTGCCTTAAATGTTGGAAATAAACCTTATTCATAACCTGCCAAATGTCTATATAACTGATAAAAGATTATGAAGATATCAAGATATCAAAAGATTATAGTAATTATCGATCCCTCCTAAAGAACAATAAAGATGGAATCCATTCGGCTCTTCAACAATTCTTGGATTTAACAGATCCTAGCCCTTCAACTTGCTTTGAACGACCCAAATCAATTTAACACTTAAAAAACAAGGTAAATTTACACACATACCACAATATTTTTATGTATTTAGATATCTAACCAATAAAATATTTTAATTAAATTATAAAACTTTGTTTTTTTGAGGTGTATTTTTACTGTCAAATTAAAGATTGATTGCTGCTATAAATTTAGATACTAAAATGTAAATATGGACATTTTATCTACCCCTCAAAATTGATATAAATACCCACTTTAACAGCTGGAGAACGGCAGACATTTTTATCCCAATTTCTTTGCTCTCCGATCAAACGAATCCCCCTTCTCTCAATTTCCCGGGCTCCCTCAAAGATCGCCGGAGGAGCACTGAACGCTCCGTCTCCACCGTCTCGTCGTCAATGGATAGAAGCTCCATTCTCCACCGCATCCTACTTCTGTTCCTGATCTCCGCCTGCGTGGCGGAGATAAAAGAACTAAAGATCTCCAGAGACTCCCGCCCCGTGATCCTCTTTGAGAAATTTGGCTTCACTATGCGCGGATTCGTTGATATTGCTGTCTCCGACGTCTCTGTCTCCTCGTCGCTGTCGTCCCCTGATCCCTCGCTCCTCGGCTTCTTCCTCCTATCTGATGAGAAGCTCATTCAGGCCATCTACGGATCCCAGCAAGAAATTCCCAGTTCGAACCCTAACCCTGATGGAGATGCCTCATGCGTTCTCTCCAGCCCCTTCGTCAACCCGCTCTTCACCTTCCGTGATCTCTCGCAATCGCTGCCCAGTTTTTACAACCACTCATTTCCGATCACACACCCTGACGAGTACGGTCTTTACTTTGCCAACTGCGCCGCTGAGAGTCAGGTTAGCATGTCCGTCCACACCAAGATGTATAATGTTAACGCTGATGGTTTCCGTGACTATCTCTCTGTGGGTTTGGCTTCGGTCCCCTCGATCTACTTCTTCTTCGCTTTCGTCTACGCCGTCTTCCTTGCCGTGTGGATCTACTTTTCTCTCTGGAAGAATCGCCTGTCCGCCCATCGGATCCATCAGATCATGTCAGGTCTCCTTCTAGCCAAAGCTCTTAACCTCATCTGTGCCGCTGAGGACCAGCACTACATCCGGGTCACAGGCACGCCCCATGGCTGGGACGTCTTATTCTACCTTTTCCAGTTTGTAAAGGGCATTCTCCTCTTTACCGTCATAATCCTCATAGGGACCGGCTGGTCTTTCCTCAAACCATTCCTCCAGGAGCGAGAGAAGAAGGTTCTCATGATTGTGATCCCCCTCCAGGTTATCGCTAACATTTCGTCTGTTGTGATCGGGGAAACTGGACCATTTATCCAGGACTGGGTTACCTGGAACCAGGTCTTCCTCTTCATTGATATCATCTGCTGCTGTGCAATTATGTTCCCTATAGTGTGGTCAATCCGAACACTGAGGGAGACCTCGAAAACTGATGGAAAGGCTGCGAGAACTCTAGCCAAGCTTACACTTTTTAGGCAGTTCTACATTGTATTGATCGGGTACTTGTATTTCACTAGGATTGTGGTATACGCGCTTAAGACAATTGCTGCCTACCAATACCGGTGGGTGAGCGTGGCCGCTGAGGAGGCTGCCAGCTTTGCATTCTACACCTTCATTTTCTATACGTTTAGGCCAGTTGAGAGGAACCAGTACTTTGTTCTTGATGACGAGGAGGAAGAGGCAGCAGAGGTGGCTCTCAGGGAGGTGGATTTTGAGCTCTGAAATTTTCGAAGTAAAAAAAAAAAATGTTTTCTTTGACGTCGGGTTTGCTACCTTCCACCTTTAATCTGTAATACTTTTATGATCATTGTCCTGTCACCTAAAAATTTTGTTATTTTGTTTGCCTATTGGTATATGGAAACTTGAAAACAAGCCAAATACCTGTCCTTAGGTAAGCTAAACGCTGGTTTTGTTTTTTTTTTTTAATTATTTTAGAATTTTGATCAGGTGGTTCTTGCACCTTTCTGTTTTTGAACCCACATCATCTAATCTTTTCCTTCTTTTTTTGCTTGAGTGTGATAAAGTGTAACTGCCATTTTTATGCTGTGAATAAATTAAAATAAAAAATAAAAATAAATAAAAATAAAAACAATGCTAGGGACATTCAAATTCAATTTATTGCTATAAGCTATCCAAACATCATGAAATGTGTATTGCAATGTTATACGCTTTTGATATATCACATTTCTAATTTTGATGCTTTCTGTTATAAGAATTGAAAGACAAATGTAGTGACGAATTTTTCCATTTATATTTTACTGGTGTTTCCTGGTAGCCTGTTCTCCTTCTGCCCGCTCAGGCATGAAGTATGGCAAGATGTTGTGCCTGCTTTAGATGCAATGCATAGTGGAAACAAGTGCCGTAAGTGGTGATTTTTGTGGGGTTGAGGGTGTCATATTCTTTCTGTTAGTAGGCTATTTTTAAATAGGCTAAGAAGAATAGTGAGCTAGATGTCACGGACAAAAAGTTCTGCATCGGCTAAGTGTAGGCTGAAAAATAATATTTTAGTCCTGGGTTGCCCACCACCCCAAAAGAACTCTTTTAGGAGTTGACAAGTGGTCTCAGAGCAGATTACTGTCTGTCCCAGGTTTCTCCAAGGGCGAGTGGGCCCCTAGGTGGAGCCGATCCGTGGCGAGGGCGTCACGTGATTGGATGGAAGAGAATGTCACGGACAAAAAGTTCCACATCGGCTAGGTGTAAGACCGAAAAACAGTATTTAAGTCCCGGGCTGCCCACCATCCCAAAAAGCTCTTTTGAGAGGTGAAATAGAGCTCAGAAGTCTCTGATTTGATTCTTTTTCTGTTCTCCTTTTCCTGTCAATCTCACCTAGAACTCTAATCTCACTCCAATCACTTTAGAAGGCTTGAGCTTGAGTCAATGGCCTTTTATATTATTTGTGTACTCTGTTCTCTTTTGCTTGAATCTTTGATGTTATTTCTGGTCGCTGTGATTCCTGTATCATGTGTTGCATTGAACTGAATAGTGATTGTTTTCTTATTTTTTTGAAAAAAATATATGGCTATTGAGGACCTCCAACTACAGGAATCTTCTTTATAACATTCTTATATAATGATTTTTAGCCATTTAAAAAAACTTCATAACATTTTTAGTTACCCTTTTAATCTTGTGAGTTATTAGCGATGAGGTCCAAATTTTATGTATTTATTGATGGCTTTTATTGTTTTCTTTCCTTTTACATAATTTGTTAGGGGTCTTTTGTTTGCTCTTCATTTTGCCAAATTTATTTAAACTAGGATTTTACTTGTAATGTGTATTACAAATAAATTCTCAGATTTCTTATGATTTTTAGTTTTTTGTCATTTTTTTTATTTAATCAATCTTTAAATTATTCTTAGCATAAATTTCTCATATTTTTTATTTACATCAAAAGAAATTAAGCTTCTATTTTAATTGCGTCCTTTGAAATTATTGATCCGAATTTTAATTTGATTATTGTGATCTTCTTCCTCTGCATCATTTGGTTGCATTAGAAATTTCAGACAATAAAATCTTCTGCATCAAATTAATATAAGAGCTTATGGCCATATCATCATGTCACTTAGAAGTAAGAAATAGTACTTAGGACAAGCAACAGATAAATAATGCAGTGCAATTTAATTGAAATTATGTGAGTTATGGATTTATTCCTATTCTCGATAAGATATATATCTTCGAGTGTTTTCAAATTTGATTGATTATTTAGAAGGCATCTTTGAGGCTTGCGATTTTTATTATTCTCATAGTTGAATACTACAAAATCAAAATTATTTAGCCATTGTTAATTGTATTGGCAATATTTTGTGACTAAACTTAAATGGGTTGACAAGAAGCATATGCTTACAGAGCTGTGTTTTTCACTAGATGCTTATAGGGATCAACTCCAAGTAATTTAAGAATCATGAACAAGGTGATTATAGCGTGTTTGATTATTATATAATGTTTATAATTCTTATGGCTAAATTTTGGGCCATTAGGCTGTTATATCACAATTATTTGTTTAGTTAAAAGGCTTAAGTGAGAGATTAATATCACAACACTCCAAAAATATTGCATGAGATTTTATATAGATATTTGAATATTTAGGAATATTACGACCATTCCATTGGACCTATCACACCTAAGATTTCTGCTCCTAACGAACTATCTATACCATTTCCTCTGAAGTATGCCTTGTGCACACCAACTCACGAGTACTATATATTTAAATTTAATCTTATGGAAGAGATGTTGATCTTTTGAGAATATTCTAAATGTAAAAGATTATTTATAGTTACATGTTGAATCTCAAATTGTGCGTGAGATCATACAATCTAGGTGAGACCTATTGAGGAAGCACAAGGGAATGGAATGCACACTCTCTTGCTAGAGAATGAAGAGAGAGAGTGAGAGAGGGTCATGATAGGATTCCCCTTAAGAGGGAAGTTCATCTTTATTTATAGGTCTCTAGGTGATCTTTCTCCTTTGTTGCACTACAAAGTGACTATTAATTGATTTTGTACAATATGGTATCTGTATATGCAGCCTCACAATGCCAGACGTATGTGATGTAGAGAATGGGCGGTCCATACTTAAAGGTGGACATATGTTATTTCTCCATTAGCTAATACTCTTTTATTGACTCAATACAATGAGTACTTGTGTGATAAACTCTGAAAGTCAACTTCCCGGGTCAACTCCTTGGGTCAATTAGACCCTTACTCACTTCGCAGGTCTTGTTAGGTGTATATATTTAGTTCGTTGATTATGTTATCTTTTTGACAATAAATCATGAAAAAAATAAGAAATTGAATAACACAAAGCTATGCATTGCGCATCTTTATAAGAGAATAAGACAAGTATATATTTCTCTTGTCCAAAAATTAATTCGTTAGATGTATTATGAATGACAGCTATTTAGATAAAGTTCAGTGGTGTATTTCACTATTGATTAACCATTCATGTATTTGGAGGCTAGCAGTTCTCTTACAGAGAATAATCCTGGAGGCAATTTGTCTGCCTATTTGACTCCGTCTTAGGGGCATTTGTTTCATCTTTAGGGAGCTGTCTCATAGATTGTTAGCTCATCGTTATTATCATATTTATAATAGATGATCCTATTGGGTGAGTTCCTCGAGTGTTATCAGTAAAAAATAAATTTGTTTTCTTTTGGCGACTAGATGGATTGTTTCCTTGAAATATAACTCGGTTATAAAGGAATTCAAATGATTTCTTTAAATTTGGACTATCCTTCTTCTGGGAATCATAGCTCTCCTACATGAAGTAGTTGTAAGTTTTCAACTTCAGCTAAGGCGACATCTTGTGGTCTTTAATCCCTAGGTTAACTGATTTCAGCTTTATTTGTTTGTGTTATATTTTAGAAAAATTTTCTTCAAAGCCGTCCCTAATATTCGACAACTGAGCCGAGTAGGGTCTACATGCCAAGTATTTCTTTTACTCTTAGAAAACTTATTTATATGGGGCAAGTTCCCTAATTCACCAAAATAGCTTGGAAAATGAAAGCACCAAGAAAAAAAAATAGATATAACAAATTAGGGATAGAAGAGTTTGAAGGATGAAATAATAATTATAAAATTGAAAGATTTAATGATAGAATATCTTATCTCATCCAATGAGAATTTATCTAGCATGATCTTTGTTGTTCATCTAGGGATCTCTACGTGTAACTTCATATTTAAGACGTGTCCACAGTCACTGCGAACTTCAATTTTAAGTGTATACATTAATATGAATATACATTTGAAGTTAAGAGTACAAGTATGTGGCTTTATTAAATCATTTTGTCAAACTCCAAGTCATAAGTTGTACCCATTTTTTAATCCTAAAATATTTCTTACTGGAGTCCTAAAAACTAAAGGAGCATTTACATGCATACCACCCAATTCCTATGTATAAAATTTTTTTAGGGCTCCAGTAAGAAATATTTTAGGAAGAATTAATCAACAAGTTGGCTGAGCTAACATTTGGTGCATTGTATAATCGATTCAGTTGAATTCGATTGACCGAATTAGTCGAGCTAGTTGAATTCAGCTGCGGCATCGCGCTTTTCTATAACATTCTTGGAATATTCTGATTAGGTTATCACTGGACTATTTTGGCTGACGTAACATAAGGATGGATTTACCTGATAGTGACAGCATGATATTTTATTGTTTGAACCACCATGCTGAATACATCTATTAAAAGTGCAATTAACTTGATATTTTATGTGCTTTTTGAAGCTTTTTATAGTTTTTACTTCTAATAATGGGGAGCCATATTCAATGTAAGACCTTGCAAGCGTAATGGCATTTTTTTAGGCTTTGGAAGTTAATGGCTGCTATGATGCCATATATGATCTCCAGCCTTGATGGATCGTTCAGTACAATCAAGCAAGCTTTTGTTCCAGTGCTTAAATTTATCAGGAATTATTCAAACCTCCCTGTTCTTGTTTAAATAGCAATAATCCAGGGCATTGCTGCATATAATTAATGATTGGAAGGTTTACATACAGACCACTTAATTCCCATGTATTTACATATATACTACCTCAATTTCTAATGTTTACATTTATGCCCCCTTACGCATGCTGAAAAGGAGTCTAGGTTTTAGACATGTAAATACATAAGATTTTGGTGGTATGATTTTGAAGAACATAATGCAAGTCAACTTAGCCAAAATAATTACATTCCATTTCTGAATATCTTGGTTTTATGTTTGCTGGGCTTTTCCTTTAAGAAGTTATGAAAACAACAACTTCTAAACATGGGGAGTTGTACTTTTTGTAAGAGAAGATTTGGTAGGCTACATTTGTGCCCTGATTTATTTAATATTGTTCTGGTTACACCTAGGGCTGTCAAAAAAGCTCATTGTTCGCGAACAGTTCGTGTTCGGTTCGTCAATGAGTTCGTGTTCGATTCGTTCGATAAGTAAACGAGACGAACATGAACAAATTTGTTTCATTCGGTTAGTTAAACGAATCAAACACGAACAGTGATGTGTTTGTTCGTGTTGTAAAATAGTTATATATAAAAAATTTATGATATTTTAAAAAATTAAATTTTGTAAATTATAATATATAATAAATTAATAATAATAATATATTAATATAAATATTATATATTTATATAATATAAGTTTTATAATTAATATAATATATAATTAATATATATTAATATTAGAGATGTCAAACTGGCTCGTCCTTCCCCAATAAATCGTGTTTCGTTAAGAAACGAACTCATGTTCGACTCGTTCGTTAAGAAAAAAACACGAACAGTGACTTCACGAACAATTTCGAACACGAGCTTATTTCAAACAAACTAAATTTTAAACGAACCGAACACGAACACAAGCTCTGTTCGTTCGTGTTCGTTCGTTTACACCCTTAGTGACACCAGGGACGCCCATTGTCTCATTGTTTTCATCTCCATTCCTATTATCACAGACATAAGGAGATCAAATAAGTGCTCAAATTTTTATGATCTTTTTCTTATGCAATTTTTAAAAAGAATTTTTTTTTATAATCTCATATTATTTCAATTAAATCCCAATGTTGTGAAACTCAGATCGGAGATCGAACTGAAAGGAAATGTTCAAGATTTATTGGTTCAATTGGAGTTGAATAGGACGTTAAATCGGATGTTATAAACATAAAATTAACTTAATATGATTTGAATAATATAATAATAATATGATAATTGAAATATAAAAAATAAATAAACATATAAATGCAATTAAATTTTTTTAAGTTTTTAAAATAGATGAATGGTAGTCCAAAGCATTGAGTACATCTATTATTATTATTATTATTTTAAGCCGAGAAATGTATGAATAAATCCTTACATATCTTTCGAGTACAAAGCATAAAAAAAAATATTATGATTGTTGTGTGCAAAAAAAATTAACAATTGTAGACTGGTATTTAGTTTCTTAGTATTACACCATGATCCAGTGCACATAGATAAAATAGAAAATAAAAAGATTTTTTTTATATAGAAAAACCACAAAGGGGAAATGCGTTGTAAAAGAAGAAATCAAATGTTAGGAATAACCACCAATTTCTGACTACAATGATCGTAAGCAGAGGTAATTAGTGCCAGTGATCGGTGGTAGCAGGTGGTGACAGCTGGTGACGGTTGGTTGTGGTTAGAGGCTAGCCAGTTATGGATGTCAAAAACTATCATCGGGACTTCAATATTGATGTTATACATTACAATCGTATTTGGGACACAAAGTTTCCAAGCAAGAGTCACAAGCGGTATGAGGTCGGGCGACGACAAGTGCTGATGACATACGGTAGTCGATGTTGATCGGCAGCCGAAAGTTATTGCTAAATTTTCATTCAAAAATGGGCTTTGGAATTCCTCTCATCGTGACGCTAGATTTGATTATAAATATGTTGAATTTAGAGTTCATTTAACCATTCAATTGATGATCCGAAGCTTCCAAATATACTTCCATGACTTGATCTATGCTTGAGTGGACTAGATTGTCCCAACTTTAGTATTATCAGGTTCGTCTACTCAATACGGTCAATTTGATCATAAATTTGTTGAATCGAGGCCTTAGATGATCTTGAATTTGAATTTAGAATGTTTAATTTTCAAAATACATCGAGATTCATGTTGGATGATAAAAATATCTTGACGCATCAATGATAATGTAATTAATATGAGATATCAAATAACCTTTCAACAAAATAGTGTTAGATAAAAGAAAAAATTGCTAATGATAAAAATTATAAAAATTCAAAGCATTAGAAACTTAGAAACAAAAAAAAAAATTAACTCACTAATTAAGAAATAAAAAAACTCAATATGTAATGATAAAATCAATGTATTATTCTAAGATTGATTAAAATCATCAAATCAAATTAAAATAAAAAAAAAACTATAATTCAACAAAAGAAAAAACATACTTCACTTTTAAAATAAAAACAAGATCATCTTTCTATATTTTATTGATTATACCTCCTTGAACTTCTGATTAATTAATATTCCAATATTTTAATTAATTAATTTTTATTTACTCATTAAAATCAGAAATGATATAGTTAAAAAAAATAATAAATTGGAATTAAAAAAAAATCATGAATTGTGAAAGCATAAATATTCTAACTTAGTTATTAATTGTATAATTCATTAATTAATATTTATTTAATACATATTGGATGATTATAATTCAAAATTCAAAATCAATAAATTATAATAAAATAAAATTTTAGAGTAGATTATGAGAAAAATCACAACTTCTTTTTGGGGAATTTACATAAATAGGGTGCTTATTTTTTAAAAAATAAAAAATTAAGTGTTAGATAAATAAATGCATAAGAATTAGGTGCTATTTATAAAATTTTCGTATACCCTGTTGCCAACTCACGCTTCGTGTAGGTTGGCCGGACACCTCCGCTTGCATCGCTCCTCCTCGAAATCTCGCCGTCCTCCCGGAGAAGTCGAGAACGTCATGCCTGACATTTCTCTTTCCCACCCCAGACAACCTATTCCCTCTTCCTCTCTCTTCTCCCTCTTCTCCTTCTCTCCCTTCTTGTCAGATGATCTCCGCCTTCTGATCCGTCGAGCTTTACGCCTCATTGAAGTCTGGAAAGCTGAAGACCTAAAGAGAAGGAGAGAGCGGAAGGAGAAATGCTGCGGAGAGCAGCGAGCAACGCTTATTCCTGGTGGTGGGCGAGCAACATCCTCACCAAGCAATCCAAATGGCTTGATGCCAACCTCCATGGTCATTCCCTTCCCTCCCCTCCCCCTTTTTAAATTAGGGTTTCTGTAGTTTTCTTATATTTACGTTGGATTTATGGACAGAGATTTGAGATTTCAAATTGTTTATTTCAAATGCTTGCTGATGATACCTAATTTGAGTTAAATTGCCCTAGATGCAATTGTGGGTTATAATTTCGAGCCGGGTAAGATGCCAGTCGATGGTTTTGTCGATTTTCTATATTTTAGTGATTATCAGAGAGAAATTATTCAAAGATTGTAGGGTTAGGTTTTCTATGCAACTTTAATCGCATGCATTTGCTTTTTTCGGATCAATTTATTGTGGGTTCTTATGTAATTAGGTTGATTAATCCTGCTTATTAGTGAATTCTAAATTGCAAAGAAGATTCTTGTTTTATATGCCAATGTGCAAAGAAGATTCTTGTTTTGCAAATAGTTAATGATTTTTAGGTGAATCTTGAAATTCTGATAAATTTGAATAAGAACAGAAGTTGGGCATCCATGAAGATGTCTGCTGTAATTCAAGGGGGGCATTTACATCAATACTACTTTATTCCTATGTATTTACATATCTAACACCTAAACTCTGCTTTTTAACATTTATACCCATTTTCATGCAAAAATTGAAGTTTATGTTGTTAAATATGTAAATAGATTGGACTTGAGTGGTATGTATGTGATCTTCCTTGATCTATAACATTGAATGTTTATCTAGCATTTGTTCCATTTGAGATGTAGTCAATTTTTGATTAATAGCATGCTGCCTATTTCTTGACAATAATTACTAGGGGCATTCACATGCATACCAGACAATTCTTGCTATTTACATATCTAACACCTAAACTTTAATATTTACATTCACGACGCATCAAAAATATCACTTTACTAACTTCTTGAAAATCAAATGCACCATTTATGCATAGGTTTATAGCACAAAGGTGTGATAAATGTAAATATCTAAAGTTAGGTGTTTGATATGTAAATACATTAGAATTTTGTGTTACGTATGTAAATTTACCAAGTTACTAATTTGTTCTAAATCTGAAATTAAATTGGCAGAGCCAGTTTGTCATCAAAGGTGAGTTCAAGTTACTTGGGCCTAAATTTAACTGAATTTTGTAGGTCAATTTGATTCAATGTTGACTTGAACTCATATCACAGTTTGAATCTAAAGAAGAGCTTAGATTATCTATGTTTGCAGAAATGGAGGAGAAGGTGAAAACCATGATCAAGCTCATAGAAGTGGATGCCGACTCCTTCGCGAAAAAGGCAGAGATGTATTACCAGAGGAGGCCAGAACTAATCAGATTTGTCGAAGATGCTTACAAAACTTATAAAGCTCTGGCGGATCGGTATGATCGCATATCCGGCGAACTCCTTAAGGCCAACCATACCATTGCATCAAATTTCCCCGATCAATTCCAGTCTTCAATGCAAGATGATGAAGAAGATGGCCCTCCAAAAGCTTTCACAGACATTGATATCAGTAAGTCCAACAAGCCACCGACCGGGGAGGCGCCGCAGATCAGTTTTAGAAACAAAAGCAAAGATACATGGGCTGCCTCAAAGAAGCACCATAAGAAAGTTATTTCTCATGTCACGAAGGAGAATGCACAAAATGAAGTTGACAGGCTTCAGAAAGAAATCCTTGTTCTCCAAACTGAGAAAGAATTTGTTAAGAGTTCTTGTGAAAGTACCGCGGCGAAAGTATGGGAGATTGAAAACCAGATCACTGATTTACAAGGTGAGGTATGTGCTTTGCAGGGCGAGTATAGCGTGAGTTCTATGATTGATGATAATGAAGCCCGGGCATTAATGGCAGGCACGGTAATCAAATCATGCGAAGAAAGCCTAGTCAGCTTACAGCAGCAACAGAAGAAATCAGGAGAGGAAGCGGAGATGGAATATAGAAGAATCAGTGAAGTTAAAAACAGAATAAAGTTTCTCATGGATGAAAACTGCTCGCCAGAAATGGAGGAGACCGTCGAACAAGAAAAAAGTAATAAGGGGGTAGAGGGTTTTCAACTTAAAAATGAGGGGCTGGACCTGCACGCTGTGTGCACACCGGTGAAGCAGTTGTTCCAGATGGATTCCGACACATCAACTGTTGAGCTCGCTGAGAAGATTGATGAACTTGTGGAAAAAGTCTTTACGTTGGAGGGAGCAGTTTTATTGGAGACAGCACAATTACACAGGCTAAGATCAGAGACTGATATGCTTCTCAAGTTCTTCCGAATCATCGTAGAAGATAAAGCTAATATGTTTGTTGATTCAAACAGCTTGAATGTGAGGCTGAGGCAGGCAGAAAATGAATTGCATGGAGTTCAGGAGCTTGAGAAAATCATGCATCATGAGAAAGGGATCTTACAAACTCATTTTCTAGAAGGTTGCAATAGTCTTAATTCTATGTCAGAAAAAATGGAATCTTCCAGCCTTAAGGAGAAGGATGGTAGCCCTGCGGCCTCAAATATTGAAAGCTTGGAGAAGAACAAAAAGGTTAAAGAGGAGATCATGGATGAAGGAGGTGATGCAGTAAATGAGGAAGATGAGGTTCTTGGGAAGCAGGAGGTTGAGCAAGATAAAAAGGATCTGTCAGAGTTTGTTAAGTCATGGATGGTGAAGATAGAACAACAGAACGCAATGATTTCATCTTTATTGAAGGATTTGGAGTCTGATGACAGGGATAATATTCCAGACATACAGAAGCTATTGCATAACAGACCAGAAGGCAGACAAAATATGCTACTGTATGGGTATTCTTCAATTCTCCACAAGTACAAAGACACAAAGAAGAGGCTAGCGGAGATGGAGAAAAAGAACCAAGAATACCATTTTGAGACAATGGCTCAGATTCAGGAGCTGAAGAGCGAGAATGCTGTGAAGGATCAGGAGATCAGAGACTTGAGGAGGAAATTGCTCCATCACACTTCTTCCAAGGGTGCAACAACCTCTCAGAATGAAATGATTGAAGAAGAGAATGGAAGCTCCATTCAAAAACTCTCAGTCAATCCTGCCGAAATTGAAGAAGAGATCAAACTATGCCATTTAGATCAGCAGAACTCAAATTCATCGATCGAGGAAAAGTTCAGAACTGAACTTGACACTCTTCTCAATGAGAACCTCAGCTTCTGGCTAAGATTCAGCACCTCATATCATCAAATTCAAAAATTCGACATGTCATTTAAGGAATTGGAAGCCTGCGTGGATAAGATGAAGGATCCCAAGGAATATAAATCTGCTCCTGCATCCCCAATGCATTCATCAAATAAGGAAACCACCCCGCCACTCGATAAGAAGCTAAGGGAGCTCCATGCAGAGCTCCAAGTTTGGTTGGAACAAAACGAATTGCTGAAAGGAGAGCTTCAATGCAGGTTCACATCCCTCTGCAACATCCAGGAAGAGATTTCAAAAGCTTCGTCGGATACGGAGGGTGACGATTCCAAGTTTAGTCCATACCTAGCGGCGAAGTTCCAGGGCGAACTGCTCAACATGCAGCAAGAGAACAACAAAGTTGATATGGAATTGCAAACTGGTTTGGACCATGTGAAGGCTCTTCAGTCTCAGGTTGGGAAGGCTCTCTCTAATCTGAGGGAGAGCTTTGATCTCTCAGTTTCAGATGGGTATCAGCAGTACCAGAATTTTAGGCACTGTTCCACAAGGTCTAAGGTTCCACTCAGAACTTTCTTATTCGGGGAGAAACGAAGGAAGCCTTCTATATTCTCGTGCATGAGCCCAGTCCTGTACAGGCATCACAGCTTAGGTAAGTCTGGGTTCTCTAAACGATGAGCAGAGATTTTCTGGTGTTGGTGGTTTGGATTTTTCTTCTTTTAACTTCCTTTTTCAAGTAATGAGGGGATGGCAGGTATTCCAATTATATTGTGGGCTAATTTGGTATAGTTTGTCTTAGAGAAAAGTTGATGCTGAAGGTGCAAATAATTAAGGGGGTAGTTTGGGATTATTTTTTGTTTTTGTTTCTTGTATTGTTTATGTTTTTACTTAGAATGAAGCATGTTTGGTATGTTATAACATGTTTTAAGTATTTTTAAAAACACTCAAAATATATATTTTGAGTGTTTTTAATTAAAAAACACACACAAAACAAAAGTTAACCCAAACAAACCCCAAGAATTGAGGGCAGCTTTTCCGAGCAGCGTGTTATGTTGTATGCTAAGGATTTGTAAGAATTGTTAATTTTTTGGTGGTTTTAAATTATGAAAGGCTGTTATTGTAATGATATTTTGCTTAAAAACGTTCATTTTGGCACCTTAAAACCAAATAAATTGGTGCCATAGCTAATTTCAGAATTTACTCGTAGAAGTTGTACCAAGTTCATATCACCTTTTCTGTTCCACAGAATTGTTGTTTTATTATTATTATTTTCGTTGTATGTATGTCTATCAACAATGGAGACTTTGAACATAATCCTGCATGCGGAAGTCAGAGTGAATTGTATAGTTTCTGTCATGATGTTGGTGTGGGATCAGCTGCGATACTAAAAATCATTATAATCTGTAAATGTTCTTTCTTTACAGGACTTAATGGTAGTATATACCTATATAAATGTTTGCAATGAAACGTTTGCAATGGTACAAAAAGCATTTGTCATAAACAATACATGCTTTCCACATGCATAAGAAGTTACAATGTTTGGTCATCCTCTACCCCAAAAATTGAACAAGGCCTCTCACAACGACAGAAGCATAGGCCTCTATTCAACACCTAGGGCAAACTTCCTCTTGGCTACAACCACCAAGAAACCCTAATTGTGGTTATTAGTAAACATAATCATAACTTTTAATCTCTTTCTATTGTGGTCATTCTACTAAAGAATTTCTCAGCCTTGGGAAATTGTTATGTGTTGTTTAGGGAAAGATAAGTGAAATCCAAGCATTGATGCCTTGATGGATATAAATTCACTCGTTGATTATTTGGTTGGTAAAAGCCCTTGCTTTGTGGCATAGATAGTCACAATCCAAGGTACATAGGCTTGGTTGGTTAGAAGCCGGAAAATGCATTCTTTGTGTAGGTTTTGGCTGTTTCATTAGGTACCATGTATTAAAATTTAGTGTTCTTCTGAAGGCATCTTGATTTTTAATCTTATTTCTATCTTGTTGCTAGAGTTTTTGTTTGCTCTGTGATTTAAAATTTTTAAATGCTTGCAACTACTTTAGTTGATTAACCCTTGCAAGCCTCGAGTATGCAAGAGGATTGGTGTGTATTCGTAATCTTTGATAGATGGTGTAAATTCTTTGAGAAACATGTGTCATGTTGTGTGACGTTCTCATGAAATATAACTTCTTAAAGAAAGTAGCATTAATGTAGACAATAAGTAATTTTTGTATGTGTGAAATGCTATCTAGATGGAGCACTATTGAAAAGTTAGCTTGTTTACATTGCATGAATTCATCTAAGATATTTTCGCCTCAATTTGATAGAAATAATTCATGGTTTGTTTGTCGCTGTATATTTATAAATGGTGAACATTTGAAAGAGAGGGAAGAATATACATCAAGGCACTTCTGGTAATGGAGGCATTTACAATTTTCTTCATGCTACTAGCTCAATACATAGAAAGGCAGAGGTAGACCTAGGAAGACTTGGGCTTATTGTATTAAAAATGATCTTAATTTACTAGAACTAAATGAAAATATGACACTAAATAGGACGCCAATGGAGAAAAAGGAGAAAAAGGATTCATGTAACCAACCCCACGTAGTGGGATTAAGGCTTTGTTGTTGTTGTTGTTGTTGTACTAGCTCAATACATATTGTGTGTAAAAAGATTATAGTGATGTGATTTCTTTTTTTTTTTCCCTTAAATTTATTGAGTACTTATGTTTCGAAGAAACTTTATTATAGTGAAATTGCACATGCACATTTTTAGAGGTGGACATGGTGAGTTGATAGTATATCACAAAGAATTTATACAACTAGAAATATTTTAAAATATTAATATTAATTATGTAGTAATTTAGAATTGTTATAAATATTAATTTTTCCTAAGATGTGTATGCATGATTAAATGATAGACACGAATAGAGCTCTATAGAATAGGGGTTCCCATTAATTCATTTCAATAATTAAACTTTGATTATCTACAAGATGAGTTATGAGAAATATTGTGGTGCCAAGTAATGTGTAAAACTAAGAGGGATGCATACTTGTATGAATGTGGAGACAAACGCACGTATAAGAAGCATTTCAATAATGGACAAGTCTATAAAGCACAATAAAAGAAGCAGATGATATAGAGAAAGTGATTGAAGGAGAGAAAGCAAGATTGACGAATAAGAGAGAGGAGCAGAGCGAATGAAAAGAGAGAGAATAGAAGCAAGTCGAACAGAAAGGAAAAAAAAAAGAAAAAACAAAAACAAATAACATTTTACATAACTGCCGATCCGATTCATTTACGCATGTCAAGAACAAATCATTGAGAATTTGATAAAAATAATAACAATGGGTTGATTTGTAAATAGCAATGCTTCAGTTGCTCTGCTTGTAACTATCCCTTTGAATTATTATGTACAATCTGTAGGTGATTGAAGATAAAAATGTCAAATCCTTTCCAGAGATTGAAAGGTAACATGTCCATAGCTTCTACATTGCCATCAAAAGCTAAAACGGATTAAAGTCACAGCTATAGCGGCTTTGGCATGAAAAGGCTCCATATTATTTACCACAACCTTATTCTTTTGTAGCAAATAAAAATGTCTCAAAGCTTTCCTAATTTATAGAATTACCTTCATATGATGTTCTATAGCTATTATTTTGAGGGTGTATTCCAAATAAACATAAGAAAAAACATGAGAATTCCATATAATTTTGGAAAATTTACATACATATTACACAATTCTTATGTTTTTACACATCAAACACCTAAATAAAAAAAAAAATCTATTGAATCAATGCTGCTTTTACAAAACGCATAGATTAAAATTTTACCCTTCCGTTGGTTCAAAAAGTGGCAGCTTTTTTCTTGAGCATTTATTTTTGTCAATGAACTATAGATCCAATTCATTATCAATGTCATCACCCTCATCAAAAAGTTTAAGAAATCTTGCCTGGTTCTGTTCCCTCTTCCTCTTCTGCCAGTATTTATATATCCCAAAGGCTGCAGAAGCAGCCATTAATGAAGTCAAGGCACCAAGGAGCACAGCAACAGCCAGGTGTGATTTCTTATCTGATGGTTCACTCTGTGGGGCATATTTACATACATACCACAACATTCTTATGCATTTACATATCTACTACCCAAACATTCATATTTACATGCAAAACACTGATATCTTTAACATCACATCGAAAATATCACCGTCACACCTCATTAAAAGTGAAATACATCTTTTCATGCATAGGCTTATGACAAGAAGGTATTTTGAGTGTAAATACCAAATTTTGGGTGTTGGATATGTAAATGCATAAAAATTGTGTGGTATTGTGTAAGTACAGTTCCCAAAAATATATCAAAAAATTGATCAAGAAAGCAGTTTTATATTTCTGAGTTTTTAATTAAAAAAAGGATAATTTAATCAATGAAAAAAGTACCAAAGATATTTTTTTAGATCAACAGCTGTCAATTGATAAATGTATAAATTCATAAGGTGTTATTTGTAAAAAATCGAACTTTCAGATGAGGAAACACTCACCGACTCTGGTCATGCATTCAGTACATGCGAATGTGGCATTAAATTCTTTCTGCTTGTAATGAACGTAGTTTCCTTCAAGAAATTCATCAGGACAGAGCTCCCACTCATCAAACACATCATCAGATTTCAGTCTATCCAATTCATAAAGCCCACATCTTTTGCATTTTTTATCTGGAAACCCTGCTATTGGCTGCCAAGACAACAAAAAAAAGAAGTTAGTCATCAATTATTTTGGTAATAAATTTTCACGAATTAAAAAATTTCGCTTAACGGTTTGCATGAAAAATTAGTAAACAAAAGGTGCAATGAAAAGCTGACGGCATAAAGGTGTTCGTAGCTTTGGACGGGGCCAGGCACACTACATTGTGTTTTAAGAGAATATTATTATTATTATTTCTTTTTAAATGGACTTTGTGATTGTGAGGACGAAGTTTTGGGGGTGTAAAGAGGAAAGTTCAGTAGATTTGCTAACTCCTGATGATGCAATCCTTGCTTATAAAGAGAAAAAAATTGAATCTTTTTTTACTTGTCATAGATACAATCTTCACAAAAATTGAACTTTATAAACTTTAAACAAAATTTTTTCTTAAAAATAAGAACTCTATACATTTCTCACTTATATGATCAAGTTTGCAGTTACAAACACCTGCATTAATCTTCATTCCAACTACATCAATAGATTTAATCATCTTATTGTCAGGTAAAGAGTGTCTTTAATATTGTCTCGAGTCATCACCATTACCCCTCTGATCACCTTCCACGAATCACCTATGAATGTAATCATATACCCTATTCTTGCAAGCTGGTTCACCGAGATCAAATTTCTCTTTAAACATGAAAAATGTTTAACTTCACTGAACTTTCAGACTGATCCATTTGACAACCTAATATCAACATCACTCTTTCATACAATACTACAAGTTTTGTTATCTCCCAAATACACATTACCTAGATCACTCTGAACGTAGTTTTTAAACATCTATTTATTTGGGCAAGCATGAAAAATGCACATGAATCTACTATCCAAGATTCAATACTAAATAGAGAGAAAATAAGGGAGCCAACTTGGATTTCATTTGTAACTTCACTGAGCTTCCAGACTGATCCATTTGACAACCTAATATCAACATTACTCTTTTTCATACAATACTACAAGTTTTGTTATCTCCCAAATACACATTACCTAGATCACTCTGAACGTAGTTTTTAAACATCTATTTATTTGGGCAATCATTAAAAAATGCACATGAATCTACTATCCAAGATTCAATACTATATAGAGAGAAAATAAGGGAGCCAACTTGGATTTCATTTGTGGAGATATTTGTAGAGAACTTTTTGTCTCAACCTCCACCCCCAACCTTCATCGGAGTTATGTAGTCCTTGAAATGAACTTTCTTACCATAATTCTAGCATTCACCTCCGTCATTTTCTCTTTTTGACCTGAATTTTCCTCTTCTAGACTTAATATTTCATCGTCTGTGTTTATATCTAGATTTCCTTCTCTATTTTTAACATTCAACACATAATTTGAAGTTTCACCACTCACCTTCTTGTGGACTTCTTTATTTAACGCTAACCTTACAATGTTATCAAAGTTTAGCTTCATAATACCTGAAGAGTTGCTTAATGTCGTAACCAACTATCTAAGAATGAAGATAGGATTAACAGTGCCCTACCTTCGTCATTGAATTTGATGCCCATAAAACATAATTGGATAGTCATATTGTTAAAATTATTCAAATGTTTAGTCACCTAAATACCTTCTACCATCTTCATTTTGAACAATCTCTTCATTGAAAAGCTTTGTTTGAAGTCAAGGGCTTCTCATAGATCTTTATTAGTGCAGCCATGAGATACACCGTATTTTTTTCATTCACAACGTTAAATGCAATAGATGAGAAAAATGAAAGACAGATTAAATATAGTGTTATGCGATCAAGAACTTTCTATTCTTCCCGAGTCATCGATTCCGACTTCTTGATGATTCCTTCCAGTGGCAGTATAATTTTTTTTATACAATAAATGTTCAACATGCATTTTCTAGAATGCATAGTTCGAATCACTGTATTATTTCACCTTGTACCATATTTCGTTGGCCATTGCTCCCCCTCAAATCAGAGATCTTTAGGAAACCGATGTTCTGATACCACTTATTGGAAGGATATTTTCACTTCCCTAGATTTGCAAAAAAAAAAAATCGAGAGATTTGAAGCAAACAATTGAATAGAAGAGCACAAACAAGAAACCAAGAAAATAGAACCCAAATTTTTAATATGGAAAAACTTGAGAATGGGAAAAAAATCATGGAGCCACACCACACCAAAATACACTACGAAATGAAAAGAAATGTACAGATTACACCACACTCAAACTCTTTCTACAATCATAGGGCTTAGGAACACTCTTCTCTCGATCACACAAGAAAAAAAAACAAAAATCCACATACAAAATTTTGCATGCTCTTTTACACACACTGCTCGTTCAATTTTTCACCTTTGTTCATGCACTAGCAAGAGCTTCTCCAAATTCCACATCGAGTACTTATATGCCTAAACTACTCAAACTGTTTTTGGCGCTGAATCATCCGTCTTGAGCACCTAGTTTCTGGATGCTTTGTTTCCAACACTAAAATGATCCTATCTGGGTGTGGTTGCATCCCTCTTGGACGTTGGATTGTAAATGACTCTGTTTCAGAAGAGTTCATCCGAGCGCTGGATCGCCGACCTTAGTGATGGGTGGTCGCCCATACCCAAACAAGTGCTAGATCGCACTCCATGGCAAAGGGTAGCCCATACCAAGCCAAGTGTTGGGTCACCCAGCCAAGCGTTAGGTCACACGGCCAAGTGTGGCATCGCCCTTAGGAAATGCATTAATTGATTTTCTTGCCTTGAAGCAATCATCTTCTAAACATTACAGATTTGGTAACTTCTTTTCTTCCTAACTTATTTTTGCTCTCTAAATCTTATTATTGCTTGTTATGCAAAAATAAATTATCTTCAAGTCAGATAAAATCAACATTTCTACAAATGCATGATTTTCAGTTGATTAGATAGTTCTTATGTTGTTGAATATTCATGCGCTATTTCTAGCATAAGGCTATTAATTTATCATCAGTGTTGAATCTCTTAATATTTTAGATGTTGATCCAAGTTAACAAAAAGTTGTCAAAAAGAGTGTATTGTCTACAAATTTCCATACATTTGCATAATTTAGTGCATATTATTATAGATCTACATCAACAAACCTTACACTGGAAGATAATTTATGTGAAGTAACACATACAAAACTAAAAATTTTAAGAAAAAAAATTGCAAGAATTTTATGTGAAAAACTAGAATAGTCAATAATTAGCTACCAATAAAAGCAAGCAAAGCAGAGTTGTTAATCAATTTTACGAACCTGCCATGATTCGATGCCCTTGAACTTGTAAACAAAGTTTTTCTCTTTCACGTCTGGCAAAATGATCTTGTTCTCTCCTTGACAATGGAAGTAGATGACTGGTTGAGGAGAAAGCCATTCATGAGTTTTGAAAATTTCAATAGAACTGAGAATAACAGACTTTGATGAAAACATTCCTGCAAAGAAGTAAAATTATTGAATTTTAAATGGAATAAAAATAAAGCACAACCCCAGAAACCTTTTGATATTGAACATAATAAAGTACTCATCATTCTCGTCATCATTAGCCATCCCCAGCAACAAATGATGAATGAGAGTACTAGAAAATTATACTTCATGAGCTTTAAGGAAGTGCCCAAAAAGAATCTTCCAATCTGGACAATGAAAGCATTGGCCCCAAATTATTTATCAGTTTCACTATAACATCTCGACTCTATTTGTGGCACAAGCACTGCAATGCATCTCAACTAGTAAAATTAAATCAAATACTTGAATACACATTCTGATAATTCAAACAAGTTAATCCTGAAAGAGGTGATGTAGAACAAAAAATCTCCTCGAACTAAACTGACAATAATTGAATCATCTGGGTTTATGGCCAAACTACCTTTGACGATGGTTGAACTATGCTAAGAAAAATTTGAACCATCTTGAACATCGCTCAACTCGCGCTGAGCAATATTTGAACCATTTATGCCTTTATTCAAAAAAGTTTGATCACAATTGCATACGGGTCGAAGAAGCTTCAAAGAGGGTTCAAAGATTGTTTGAAAATGGTTCAAAAAAATTCTATTATGTATCAAAGATGATTAGATGATTGCTCAATTATATGTTGAAGATAGTTTGGAGATTAGTCAAAGGATAGGTGAAAGATGGATCAAGAGAATAAAATTCAAATAACGATGTTGTCTGAACATCGTTAAAAAATTGTTCAGATTATTCTATCATGATTTAGCCATGGATCAAAGATGAATATAGCTGGAGGATGGTTCCAACATAATAAGTTTATAGCAGATAAATTAAATTCTAAAGGAGAAGCGGTTTAAAGTTTAGATTATAAAACCTATTTCCGATCATTTAATCTTCAACAATAATTGATAAAGAAAGATAGCATTCATGAAAATTGTTCCAAGGGAAAAACAGAGAAAGTAATAAGAAGATTAAGGACCAATAAGCTCTTAAAATGATCAAAATTCTTTGTAACCATTGAACGAGAATTCTAACTCAATTTGTTAATAGACGGAGGTATTTTGGTCTAAAGGGAATCATCGTGCATACATCATAAAAAAACCAAAAAGATATATATTTCTTCCATTTCTGTACTTATGAGTCATATAAGTTCCTAACTACATCTCATTAGAATTAAAACCCTAAACATCATAATTATACTCCTAAACCCCCAGTTTAGCTTCTGCATTTCAAAACTCACCAAAAGTTCCTAACGAACATCTTAGAACAAGGAGCAATTCATTCCATTCAAAGCTACAGAATCTAAATAAAAGTTCTGCAATAAGCTCTTATTGATCAAAATTCACAAGAAAAAAAAAATGAAAAAGATAGATTCTATGCATTGCCATTGATGATCTTAACTAATCAAATCAATCTCCATGCCCACAACAAGCACCACAAAAGAGAAAATTCATATCACTTGCAATGACATAACAGCAGAAAATCACCTGAAACTAAACCGAGAATGATGCAAAAAACGAGTAGTAGGCTCGGCGTGATGTTCCTCATAATAATCGATCTTGGAAAATAAAAAAATTCGCCGGCGGTGAAGATAGCAGGAGGAAGAACACTAGAGAACCTCGAAGGGAGAACAATGGCGTCCAAAGTCTTCGTCCCGGATCGATCTCCTAGCCGGAGCTAACGGTTGATTGCTTCCGCATACCAGCAGACGAATTTGGCGAGATTTGAAACTTTTGTGAAAAGGACCTCCTATTTGCCCATTTTTATATTAACTAACTTTGAAAATAACATTGTTGACAATATTTAAATATTATAATTTATGTTTTTATATAAAGATAATTGACGTTAAAAAGTTAAGTGTGTAAAAATGACTTTTAAGATTTTAAAATTTATTTTAGATCATTATAAAATAAAATAAAATGTTTATTGATATATTATATTATATTTATAAATTTAAGACTCATTTTAATTAAATTTTAATAACTTTTTTGAAATTTTTTTTAATCAAAATTTTATTAGAATATGCCGATGTAACATTTTCTTAAAAATAAATACATAAATTTCAGCGAAACCTAAGAACTCAAAAATATTAATTAATATTTGTATGAATCAAATTAATTGATATGTTTATCAGCATAAGTTGGATAAGCTGCAGCTGCTCCAAACAGACCCTAAATAACCCCCGTTGAATTGATTTTAAATTAGCATCTAACTAATTTATATCAACTATGTAAAATAATATATAAGTTGTAAGTAAACTTTATTATAATAAAATAATATATAAAACTACTGTCAAGTTAATTCATTAAATTAGATATGAAATTTACATCTAATTTTAGTGCAAATTAATACTAAATTATAATAAGTTATTAATGAATATCTTTTAAATGAATTTTAGTAAATAAAATTTTATTTAGTGTACTTATCTTATAAGTATAGAGCATTTAATAACTTAGTCGTTGAACAAATGAACATTTTGTTCATATTTGTACATGTCAGCAACTATCATGGTGTATTTTTCGGAAGATTTACAAATATACCACTTAATTGTTTCGTTTTTACATATCTAACACCTATATTTTAAATTTTATAAGTATAACATCTTATCTCTCCATGAAAAAGGTTTATTTCATTTTTTTTTAAAGTTAAAATTTTGCTGTTAGATATGTAAATATATAGATATTGAGTGGTATGTATGTAAATGCTCCATATTTTTTTCATAAAGATTATGAAACAAATGATGAATGTAGTACTATATTTAATGAGAAAGGTTACATCATGATTTAAACTGAAAAAAAAAAAAAAAACTAACTTTATGTGTTTATGTTTGTATGTATGTATAGATATAGATATATAACGAATGGTCAGAGATTATTATAAGAGCCTCTAGTTATTATTAATGTGTCTAACAATTTGAGTACCACCTTCTTAAGGTCAACCGTGTCAGAGGAGATTTGAATCTCCGACTTGAGGGGTCTTATACAGTGGATGTCAAACAATAGGTCGGGGTACGCGGGGCGGGCGCACACACACAGAGATATATATATATATATATATATATA